TCTTTGTAAAAAGCGGGTTTTTAAAGGCCAAAAAATTGTAATTGGAAATTTTAAGGGAAAAAATTTGTAAGAAAAAAATTTCTAACGTCATTTTGACTTTAAAAATCAAAATTAAATTTCTAACCGAAAGTGCAATTAAGAAAACAGTCATGTATTTCTATCTATAAGCTGTTTTTCTTCGCTTTATATCTGTAAGTAATTATCTATATATGCATTCTTATAATTCTGTTTTATCTCGATTTGCATATTCAGAGTTGTTACAGCTTTAGCTCAATCTTTTACTTGCATCTGCGAAATCTAGCTAAAAAAAACAACAACAAAAAACAAACAAACCAAAACGAAATCTGGTACAAAATCTTCATATATTTAAGATGATAAAACAAAGAGTCCTGTATTTTAGATATAGACGAGTGTGCGAGCAACCCGTGCGAACATGGCGCTACATGCAACGACATGGTCAATATGTATAATTGTACCTGTATCCCTGGGTACAATGGTACAAATTGCGAACATGGTGTGTTTTATTTAATACTTTATATAATATCCTCAGGAGCAAATTAAACGGTAACGTAAACATATTTCTTCATGTGTTTAGACGACAGTTTAAGTATAGCAGGTGCAAGGGACATAAGTTACAGTCCATGATGTATAGTTTGCCAAACTATTCAAATTTTGAATAAAAACAGAGATTTCTTAAATAAAAGAAGGGGAAAAAAAAGTGAAATAAACCCCCCTCATAAAAAAACAAACAACCCCACCTCCCCAAAAAAAACTACCCCCCCCCCACCCCCCCCCCCACCCCCCCCCCACCCCCCCCCCCCAAAAAAAAACAACAAAAAAACACACACAACAAACTAACAACAGCAACAACAACAAAAACCAACACTGCATACATGTACGTGTTAAACATTATTTTTAATCAATAATTCTTTTGTTGATTTTGAAGGCAATAGTTTATGATATATTGTATATATCATTTTTTCCAGATATTAATGACTGCGTGGGTGAAAAATGTTTCAATAATGGCACCTGTATCGATCAAGTTAACAATTTCACGTGCACGTGCACGACAGGATGGAAGGGACACGATTGCAGTAAAAGTGAGTTTTTCTTTTAATTTAAAAAGTGGGTATATCAAAAATATGGTAAAAAAAATACGATTTTATATAATATTTATGTGTTTGAATTCGTTTAACTTCCAATACACACGTTAAGTAACGTTTACTTTCAGTGTTATTTGCCCTCTGCTCGTAGCTCAAAATACTAATCGTCTATTGAAATAAAAAAATGTATGTTTTGTAATTCAGATATCGATGAATGTAAGGAAAAGACCCATAAATGTAACAGGAATGCAAATTGCACGGATACAGAAGGAGGATATAATTGCACGTGCTGGGAAGGGTTTACTGGTAACGGATATATGTGTGATGGTAAGTATATTATTACTGCTGAATAAAAGCAAATCTCTTTATACCATAACCTGCTGATTTTTGAAAATGGATTTGCCCACGTTTGAATTTGGAAGAGTCCATTCAAACTTTATGGGATTTTAATATCAGAAAATCAAAATTGAGCTACCAAGACTATAGAGAGAACGTTTAGGCTTGTCAGGCTCTATACATTTAATGATACTTTAATAATTTCAATAATAATAACGAAACATCAAATAAATTTTCAATTTTGATATTATTAACATGAACTATTAACATAATAATAAACCCTAGGTCGAAATATATTATACCGTACAAATAAAAATAAATGTTTACAAGGGGAGGTAATCATTACAAAAAAAAACACTGCTTAATAAAGAAAAGGTTATTTGCCCCTCGTGAAACAATACTATCCTGATTGTTAATTTTCGTAGATCATGTGTCAGAAATTTTGAGCACGATTCTTTATCGACTGAATAAAGTTGAAAAAAAATCATGAATATAATTTTTGAACGTCTTAGATAATTTTATTGATGATTATTTTTTAAAAGTCATTACAGCTTCTTTATCCATAAATTATTTTATTGAACCAAAATTGTTGATTGTTGGATTTAATAGTGTTATCATTTTGTGTTTACTCACATGTCCAATAGTAATATCATTAATGATACACTTAATGTCTAATAAAAGATTTGCTGTCATAACTATGATTGTCCATCATGTCTAACAGATATTTCATTTATGATAACGCTGATTGTTAGTGGTAATATGTATCCTTTATGTCTAATAGTCACTTCATTAATGAAAAATAAATTGTTATTGGTAATATCTAATAAAGGATTTACTGATATATTTTATGTTAGTCCTTCATGTCTAATAGACATTTCATTAATGATAAAGTTGATTTTTAATGGTTATAGCGAGCTCGACGAGCTGGCCCGAAGGGCCTGCTCGCAAAGCGAGCTTTACGGTAACGCGAGTACCTGCTAAGTGATGGTTTTGAAAACTTTCGTCCAAAGTACCGAATTGGACACATCGCAACCTTTCGAATTTAAAGATAACGATAAAAACTGAGGAATTCTGACTGAAAACGGATGTCTATGGGAACCATAGTTGGACAGGGAACCAGAATAACGGAAGCTGTGTATAAAAAAATAATAATTGAAGGCGCCATTTTGTTTGAAAAATCTGATAAATAAGAACAATTTTTTGTCGAATTTTGTTGTGAAAACTATCTAGAATGAAAGAAAATGGTCTAATTAAGAAAATTAATCCGAACACCAATATCTTTTATTCAGTCGTTAACGCTGTACAGACGTTTAAAGTATTGTTTACTTGACGTCACAATGTAGCGCCAAACAGCACGTGCAAAACAAACAAATCAAGTACGCTATTATTTTAATGTCGCAAACGTTTTAAGTTTTACATTTATTTCACTTTAGATAATCTTTATTTCGCTTGAAAAATTATAGAGTGAAACAAAATAAACGAAGTTTTATCAACGTTTTCAAAACTCGTTATTCATTTCACGACAGGGGCGGAGCCATATTTAACACAGTTACGTGTGACGTCACACGCACTCGTTACTGCATTTGAAATAAAATTGAGCCGATTATTTCATACTATTTCACGTAAAAAGTGCATCGAGCTCGCTTTGAGGCTTTGCTTTTTCAATTAGCGAGCTCGACGAGCTGGCCCGAAGGGCCTGCTCGCAAAAGCGAGCTTTACGGTAACCGAAAGTACCTGCTAAGTGATGGTTTTGACAAACTTTCGTCCAAAGTACCGAGTTGGACACATCGCAACCTTTCGAATTTAAAGATAACGATAAAAACTGAGGAATTCTGACTGAAAACGGATGTGCATGTAGACTGGTCACCCGCGCACGTCTATGGAACATAATTGGACAGGGAACCAGAATAACGGAAGCTGTGTATAAAAAAATGAAAATCGAAGGCGCCATTTTGTTTGAAAAATCTGATAAATAAAAACAATTTTTTGTCGAATTTTTGTTGTGAAAACTATCTAGAATGAAAGAAAATGGTCTAATTAAGAAAATTAATTCGAACACCAATATCTTTTATTCAGTCGTTAACGCTGTACAGACGTTTAAAGTATTGTTTACTTGACGTCACAATGTAGCGCCAAACAGCACGCGTGCAAAACAAACAAATCAAGTACGCTATTATTTTAATGTCGCAAACGTTTTAAGTTTTACATTTATTTCACTTTAAATAATCTTTATTTCGCTTGAAAAATTATAGAGTGAAACAAAATAAACAAGTTTTATAACGTTTTCAAAACTCGTTATTCATTTCACGACAGGGGCGGAGCCATATTTGTGACACAGTACGTGTGACGTCACACGCACTCGTCACTGCATTTGAAATAAAAATTGAGCGATTATTTCATACTATTTCACGTAAAAGTGCATCGAGCTCGCTTTGAGGCTTTGCCTTTTTCATATTAGCGAGCTCGACGAGCTGGCCCGAAGGGCCTGCTCGCAAAGCGAGCTTTACGGTAACGCGAGTACCTGCTAAGTGATGGTTTTGAAAACTTTCGTCCAAAGTACCGAGTTGGACACATCGCAACCTTTCGAATTTAAAGATAACGATAAAAACTGAGGAATTCTGGCTGAAAACGGATGTGCATGTAGACTGGTCACCCGCGCACGTCTATGGGAACCATAATTGGACAGGGAACCAGAATAACGGAAGCTGTGTATAAAAAATGAAAATCGAAGGCGCCATTTTGTTTGAAATCTGATAAATAAAAACAATTTTTTTGTCGAATTTTGTTGTGAAAACTATCTAGAATGAAAGAAAATGGTCTAACTAAGAAAATGAATTCGAACACCAATATCTTTTATTCAGTCGTTAACGCTGTACAGACGTTTAAAGTATTGTTTACGTGACGTCACAATGTAGCGCCAAACAACGCGTGCAAAACAAACAAATCAAGTACGCTATTTTAATGTCGCAAACGTTTTAAGTTTTTCATTTATTTCACTTTAAATAATCTTTATTTCGCTTGAAAAATTATAGAGTGAAATAAAATAAACAAAGTTTTATAAACGTTTTCAAAACTCGTTATTCATTTCACGACAGGGGCGGAGCCATATAACACAGTACGTGTGACGTCACAGTACGTGTGACGTCACACGCACTCGTCACTGCATTTGAAATAAAAATGAGCGATTATTTCATACTATTTCACGTTAAAAGTACATCGAGCTCGCTTTGAGGCTTTGCCTTTTTCATATTATCTAATATAGTCTTTACTGATATAACCTATGTTAGTTCTTTATGTCTAATAAATATTTCATTAATGAAAAGGCTAATTCTAAGTTGGTATATCTAATACGGGGAAGTCAAAGACCGGGCCCGCGAAGCATGTCCGGGCTTTGGCTTGCCCGGCTATAGACTACACGTGAATATTTAAAAGAAAATCAAATAAAAAAACATTTAAAAAATATATAGAATTCTATATCTATCAATAAAATTTTCAGTGTCAGTTCTAGTCGGGCGCCGCCATTTACAATGTATGTCAATGATAATAGGCGGGGTATTCCGATAACGGAACAAATCTCAACTTTTCGGATTAGTAATAATCGTCGAGTGTTCCGAGTGAAAACGGAAGCGGTGTATGTAATATCGAATGACACATTTAAAACGGAAAGAATGAAAGGATTTTTTAACGACTTCCCCGTTCATAGGCTTTGCCTAATTTCATATTAAATGAGTCCTTTATGTCTAATAGACTTTTCATTAATGACGGTAATTGTTAGTTGTTATATCTAATATAGGATTTGTTGATATAACTTTTTTTCAAGAAGATTTTATTAAGGCACAAACATAATATCTATTGCCATAAACAATAATGGCGTGTATACTTACATATAAACATATAAACAAATGCATAGAAATTATCTTTTTTATCTAATTATTATATCTTTTTATCTAATTATTATATATTTCGTTATAATTTGTTTTTTAGACATAGATGAATGTGTTTCTAACAGCACGGTATGCTTTAACAATGCTACATGTGTGAACACTCCCGGAGATCATAGATGTGTTTGTGCCCCAGGGTGGACAGGCGACACATGTTTTGTAGGTAAGGGCATAGTTTTTCTTTTACTTATACACATGTACTTAGATTAAAAAATAGAGAGACGTTGCCATTAATAGTAATTGCACTTGTTGTGCACTCTGCATATATACTTGTGCATTATTCTTTCGCGGTTCACATTTATTCGTAACAATAAAAATACTATACATGTATACAAACGACGATTTATGCACATTGTTATAACCCTGTACTATTATACTCATATATTATTTCACTTAGTAAACTTTAAGATAAACAAATGACAAATAGGATCGTTTACTTATCAAAAGTCGTAAATCGTTACTATGGCAACGCTAAAATGTACTCCGGTAAAATTACATTTTTCTTAAAAACTATTCATAAATCAAGAAAGCCAAATTTGATGTAGGTATATTTATTCTAATTCTTTTTATTACTGTATACTAGACGTTTATAAATTGTACTCGTTGTGTAAAAAGTAAAGTACTTTACTGGTAAGTTAAGATTCAAACATTATGTTGATAAAGTCTCGGTATTTTTTTTCTAGATATTGATGAGTGTAATGTAACTTCTGCGTGTGCAAAAAATACAAACTGTACAAATACAAATGGAAGTTATACATGTAAATGTAAAGATGGTTACCGTGGTGACGGGTATCATAAATGTATAGGTAAGAAATATGACATCATATTCACTGTCATCCAATCAGTTTGATCCAGCTTGATAATTTTATAAAGTAAGCTTTGTGAAATTTGGCTTCTTTGCTATTACCGTTCCATTTTTAGTATATTAATATGATTAAAATCAGCTCTTAAGTAACGGTTTTCTAAACTTCAGACGGATTGTACACATTTGTTATAACCTACCGAAGGTATACATACTTAATTGTCGGAAATTAGGCCAGTTTCAATTAGTTTTATTTCTCATTCAAAGTAGAAGAATAAAAATGGGAAATCTGTCTTTTCTAATTGATAGCTATTTAATGACAAGTCATGTGAGTTCTAGGTCATAATTGAATGAAATTTCAAATTATATTTCTGTATTTGCAGAGGAAGTTTTAATAGCGGTAGATAATGTGGGACACACAGAGTCTGGGGACGATGAGATTTTTGGTCCTTACCATGTAAACAAAAGCTTATCATTATTTGGCCGAATGTACAATAAGTTCTACGTAAGTTTAATATACTATATTGCTATACTATCATCGGCCTAGAAAACTGTAAGCAATGTGAGTTCATTCAAAGGAGCTATTTTTCACCATGATAATTAGAGTCAAATTTAATAACTTTTTGAAATAATTTACCAAACGACTGAAATAAGCACCAAATTAAAGGTTACATTTTATCGTACACACAAACAGTTGGGTCGCAAAATTCACTACAATCAAGGACCATGTTTTAACCAAAATGACCGTACGCGTAGAATCACAGAAACCTTACAATATGTGGCGATAATCTATAGAAGTTTGATTACAATATCTTAAGAAATTTTAGAGAGAAAAATGGGCACAGTATTATCTGAACATATCTGAAGAAATAAATAAATAAATACATAATTAAGTAAAAAAAGAAAGGACCATGAATAGGTCATTTTAACCCAGGTTTCTTTTATTATATCAATAGCTCTGAAAAATGTAAAAGGGGTTCCACACAGGTGGAATGTTTCACACTATCATTGGCACCAATTACTCCACCATCAATCGAGGTTCCGTTTGAAAACTGTGCTTCAATTAAAAACACAAAGTCTTCAATGTCACATAAAATTCGGCTGGCAAACAACAACAAGAATGTGTTAGAGATAATAATGATAATAATTAAAAGAAAACTCGACTTGTTTCCTCCGTCAAATCTTCCACATTTTAATAGAGCCCACGTCCCATATTCATAGAGTTTTGTCCTGTTATGTCAAAGTTTTATTTCTAAAATAGTAGAACCTACTAGTGCGATTTTTACAAACATTTCAAAGTTTAGATTATACATAAATTATGGATATAATTTTCAGGTCAGTATCAACGGATATATAACTCTCGGGAATGTTATTAACGAAACATATCCTCCAGCGACATCTAGCGGCTGGGACCGATTTGAAGTCCCAATAATTGCACCGTTGTGGGCGGATATTGAAATACATGGAACGAATAGTGATGTCGAAATTACAAATGAATTGAATGGAAAAGATCTTGAAAATATAGCTAAACATCTACAAGTAAACAGCCTTAGGTTCGTATAGAAATTCAGTAACGTGTTTTTCTTTTAATTTTCTAAAGTGTTTGAATATAAATTCTATTAAATATGTTTGTATATTTTTTTAATATATTAAAGGTTGTATATATACATTTAGTTGTGAATATGTTCATAGCAATTCTAGAAGGCGAGTTTGATAGAAGATGTAAGGGATTGAAACCTGTACGTTACGAGTAATCATAAAGAATAAGACTGTGAACGAAAAGAGACGCAGAGAATCAAAATCAATAATCATCACATCATAAGACGAATTTGTAGAATTAAAAGTCTGATAGATCTAAAATGAGCTATAGAACAAAAGTAAGTTATAATGGGCAATAACTAATTACTAATGATGAAATTATGTTTGATTTTAGGACAGGTATAGTGGTGACTTGGAAGCGAGCCGTACCTTACCCTTACTCACAGAACGCAAATTTTGAGGTTTGTAGAATCGTAACTATTCATGGAGAATGGGTGTTTTCATTTGGTAAAAATGAACTTTTATACATACCCGTGCCGCTTTTGTGACTCCATAAAAATGGAATTTCACGGTCGTGCACGGTCATATATTTTGACCTGCCATCATTTGAGTTTAATTTAACAAACATAAGGTAAAGACGCGCTAAATGATAGCGTTACTCTTTGAGCGCATCAATAAAAACAATCATTTTTTAACTGTGTAAACAGTTCTAATTTTATGTATGTGATGAATAGAATAACATATTCGTGTGTGTTTATTATAGAAGTATAAATTATAACTCGTTGAAGAAATTCAGCATTAAACCTATACTAATTCAAGATCCTCTATGCATTCCACAGAAATGGTAAACACATTTCTACGAAAGACCGGTGGGGACATTTTAACTTCTTGAATTCACGATATCATCATCGTGAATTCACAATTTTAACTTCTTGAATTCACGATTTCAACTTTACAAATTCAACTTTGCAAATTCACGTTTTGAACTTCACGATTTCATCTTCAAGAATTCAAAATTTTATCTTTACGAAGTTGAAATCGTGTATACCCGAAGATGAAATCATGAAGTTCATAATATGAATTAATGAAGTTGAACTCGTGAAGATGAAATCGTGACTTCGTGATTTCTGTATGTTGAAATCGGGAATTCATGAAGTTGAAACGTAACCATCGATCGTTCGTACATTTCACAAGCACCTTTTTGATTGTCCCACATGATGAGATGTACTAGTATTATTTCAGTAATGCCATTTTTCAGTGTTTTCTTTTACATTTTGTTATCAAAACTACAGGCTGCAGATTTTCAAGTTGTCATCGGTGCGACAGAATCAAACACGTATATGATGTTTAACTACGACCAAGAAATATTCACGTGGAGGACATTTTCTGATAGAATTGTGGCAGCTGGCTACTATTTTAATCACAAGAACAAACTGATGACATTAGATAGTAATAACTTCACGTCGGCAAATATGATGAATTATGACTCAAGTAAGTTATCTCATAAGTGCCACGTTAGGAGAAATGGCGACAGTTTTAAGTATAAACTTAAGTATGAACAACAAGTCATTCAGATTATACTCATCTTGTCATATCAAGAACGATGAAGTAATTTGAAAAAAAGTAAAGGAATTTTACTGTGTCTTCTTTATACCCATCTTGCACCTAACTCATCGTATATTTATTTGATTAGAAAATAGAGGAAAAAGTTTAGTAGGGTGTCCGTGGCTGAGTGGTTAAGGTCGTTGACTTCAAATCACTTGCCCCTTACCGCTGTGGGATCGAATCTAGACAGGGACTTTGCATTCTTTCATGTGAGGAAGCTATCCCGCCACTTTAGGGGACGTCGGTGGTTCTACCGAGGTGCCCGATCGTGCTTGAAATAATGCATGGCCTGGCATCTGAGGTCTTTCTCCCCAGTAAAGCTGGAAAAGTCGCCAAATGACCTTGACTGTGTTGGTGCGACGTAAACCCAACCAAAAAAGTTTGGTATTATACAAATAAAGGAACTAAGTATCATGATATCATTGAACTAACAGTCTAAGTTCAGTAGGAAGTCATTGAGTTAGTAATCAATGGGTATCTGGTTTAATCCAAGGATGAGGAGACATTTGCACCAACCGCCGGGATATGTCCTAAAATTATCTTTAAGCCACACGCATGCACACGCACGCTCGCACACGCAAAACAAATACGATTTGACTGCTTAAGTCAGACTAGGAACACCATTCTAACAGTCAGTGTTACTTTCTAAATGTTGTACAATATGTACGCGGACTCAACACGAATTAAAATATTTTGAATTTAAAGCATTATACAGAGGAAAGAATAGTAAGCTGTAATGTTATCCAGCATTCCGTAAAAATAGACTGAAACAAATATATTCGCAACAAACTACTTCCAAAGTAACTATCTTAAAAACCTTTGTAATTTAATCATCAGGTATTAAAGGTCGATGGATATTTAATGCAACATCACCTTCCGTAGAATGGAAAGCAAAATTAGCATGTCTTGCTGCGGTGAATACTCTGGAAACCAATGTAGAAAGTTCAGAACCATGCCCGTGTAGTGAAGCCCAAGCCATGCGTGATACAAGGTTCAAGTTTGAGGGCAAGAAGACTATAAAAGGAATAACCGTGCAGCAATACGTTCCCAGATTCAAACAACCCAATGAGAGGCGTCAACTATGTCACTACAGGTTTGGTTTAATAGATAAATATAAATAGTTAAAATAATATGATAAACATTCATTTCAGTTTGGAATGTCTATAGACATAAATTTCAGTTTGGAATGTCTATAAACATAAATTTCAGTTTGGAATGTCTATAAACATAACAACATAACATAAGTTTATTAATAAATCGTATGTGAACAGCCTATTTAAACTAATAAAAGTAGATATAAAACGGCATTTGCAAATAAAAGATATGAGCCGCGTCACGACAAAACCAACATAATGGGTTTGCGACCAGCATGGATCGAGACCAGCCTGTATCCGCGCAGTCTGATCAGGATCATGCTGTTCGCTATCAGTTTCTCCACTTGTAATAGATTTGGTAAGCCACAAGCATGGATCCTGATCAGACTGCGCGGATGCGCAGGCTGGTCTGGATCCATGCTGGTCGCAAACCCACTTTGTTGGTTTTGTTGTGACGCGGCTCATATTTTTTAATTTTTACATAATCTTCAATTACTGTAAAAACTATACCAATTGAAAATATTAAACAATGCCACTCTCTGTTTTGTTTTTTGTTTTGACCAACTTCATGCATATCTTCTTGACACAGGCGCCAGAGATTTTCTTACCTCTATTGAATCGTATAGATTGAATTTTCAATTATATATCGGTATTATGGCGATTTTATGACGAATGTTACATTGTGATCAAAACTGACCCATGGCAAGTTTAAGATGAATGTTATATATGTCAACTTAATGATCAATGTTACATGGCGATTATATTTAGATTGGTTAATTGCAGTAGTTTTATCATGTCCATATTATGGTCAATGATACATGGCGGTTTTATATTCCTGAATGTTGCTTTACCATTTTATGATCATGTTGATTTATATGGTTAATATTACTTGGCGATTTTGACTATAAATGTGGCATTACAATTTTATCATCAAATGTTGCATGGCAGTTTATAAGCATGAGGAATTTAATAACATTGTGATTTTATAATTATTGCTTTAATATGAACGTTGCATGTGGATTCTATGATCATAACAAATTTATGATGAATGTTAGATGGCGTTTGAATGATAATTGTAATATGGCGATTTTATATTAAATATCCTAACTTTATTTATCTCTTATTTCAGTAGTCAGTATGGAAGCCTTATTAAAGGATACCCTGGAGGAGGCTACTTAGAGACTGTCAACGTCACAAATGCTTACAAACTTTGTTGTAACAACAGCGAAAACATATCTTGTAATGTTTTCTACCAAACAAGTCCATCTGACAATTGCTCCAGTTATCTACCACCAACTTGGTGTGAGTGTTTAATATCTGATTTGTTTTAAATTACTAGAAACTATTAGCGAACAGCATGAATCCTGATCAGACTGCGCGGATGCGTAGGCTGGTCTGGATCTATGCTCGTCGCAAACGCATGATGTTGGTTTTGCCATGGCGCGGCTCAAATATAACATTACAGTACATCTTCTATAAATCTAGCATTGTCTAACCGGAAGACGTTAATTGTATATACATTTGACTATGAAAATAATGTTTTACATTTCTAGATAATACTTTGTTTCAAATTGCCTGCTTTCTAAATATGTATGACAATTTACGCAAAATTATACTATTTAGTCACCAAATTATAGAACGCCTTTGATTTTAAAACATTTTTTCTTGCCATGTTAATGTTGCTTATCTTGTTTCTTGCAGCTTTGTCATGGGGTGACCCTCATTTTACGACATTAGATGGCAAGAATTATACATTTAATGGACGCGGAGAGTACACTCTATTGTCTCTAGATGACGCATCACAGTATGTTATTTACTTATATATTTTGTTGGAAAGTAATGTTTATATATGTAATACTTGTATTGCAAATGATAACCATGATGTTGATGATTACGACAGAATATGATGATGATGATGATGATGATGGTGATGAAGATTACGATAGAATTTGATGATGATGATAACGATAGAATATGATGATGATGATTACGATAGAATATAATGATGTTGATGATGATTAGATAGAATATGATGATTATGATGATTAAGATAGAATATGATGATGATGATAATGGTGATTAATTTGATGATGATGATGATGATGATGATGATGATGGTGATGATGATGATGATGATGATGATGAAATAAGATACTGATAATGATAATGACTACAATGAAGTTGATAGTGATGGTGCCGATGACTACGACAACGATGATGATGTCTTTTTTATCACGATGGCGATCAATTTTGTGTAGGGCAAAGTATTAATTTATAGAATTTTATTCCAATGAATGATAAAGGGACTTTATAGATATTCTAGATCAGACCACTATGACATAATATTATACCGCTGTATCTCTATTTCTTATATACTGTGTACGCATGGGCATATTGCCCGAATGTAATTTGAAATAAACTCTTGAAACTCTTGTCATTATTACCAACCAAACAAGAAACTGTGCAGTTTCTAGATTTGTATAAATAGAATTGGTAGATAAGCTTCATAACATTAACTTGTAAAACAATTTAAAATTTTCCCTTTCTCTTTAATTTTAGATCAGTCAAGGTGCAAGTTAGAACAGAGCACATTGATGACAGAAAGTCTGCAACCATTTTTACTGGACTTGCTGCTCAGGTAAATAATTTGTAAAGCTTAATTATTTTTTTTATTTCTACGTATATGCAATAACAAGAGTATCGAAACACGAGGCTATCTGATTTGTACGAAGGGGCGTATCCCCCGAGTATAAATCAGAATGCCGAGTGTTTTGATGTTCTATCTCTTTTGTATCATCGGCAAATAAAACACCTTTTCCTGTTGTCACAATATTATAACCAATGAAAGAGTATCTGAATATGACTTTTTCTATCGCACTCCCTTTCTTTGTCGTCTAAATAAGTAAACTCCGATCAATGGGCATGCTCTGGTGTGCGGGTAATTAATACCTGTACTCCAGTTAACGCACTCTGACACATTTATAACAGAAAGGTCCTCAAACTATGATACAATAAATGTTTTAAACATTCTTATCAATTTTAAGTCATTTATGAAAATATGTGTTAGATATAAGGTTTATATTGCAAATGTGTTGATATTTTCCCTCTCAATGGTAAAGTGTTGTCATGTTTTTGACATTGATTTATTTTTGTAATTATTATTTTCTCTTTTAAGGAGGTTGGGAAAACAAAGATAGAGCTCTTGTTGATGAATAGAACATTAAAGACAGCAAACCTATACATCAACAATGTCCTGAACACCACCTTCTCTAGCTCTAAAGTTTTAAACCTTGATTTTGATGACGGGTCCATCACCTCGTCCAATGCAACAATTTCCATAATTTTCAAGTCTGGATTAACTATAAGGGTAAATATCGTATAGAAATATTTTATGTATGCCTTTAACTCATTACGATTTGTTTATCAGAAACAAAACTTTCATCGTTTTTCGTTACTAAAATGAAAATATCTTGCGAATTTAATAGTTGACCACATGCTGCACGTTGATGATGTGCGTATATGAACATAAAATGATAAATTTTCAATATCAGGTTGGCGTTAGTGATATCCTTAGTATCGTCTTATCAGTACCAAAAGATGAACCTTTTAAAGGAAAAACGTCTGGGCTTCTCGGAAACAACAATGGAATCAGTACAGACGATTTTATAAAGAAGAATGGTACAGTTCTCCCCGCCGACTCAAATGAAACAACGCTATACAGCTTTGGACAATCTTGTAATTGTTTTTGATTTTTATTTATAATTTTTATTATCAATACAATTACATTAAAGTAATTATTCAACACAGACAGATGAAATAATTATTAAAAGCAGATCATATAGTCATAAATGGTTGTTTAGTACTGTTAACTTCAATTTAATTTTCTGGTTTATCGTACCATAAAACATTGTCTAAACGTCAAACTCGGATTTAAGAGCACATACAACTGTATAGGCAATCATTTCGTTTTGTTATTTGTAAGATTTCTGTCTTTGCCAGACAACGAAGACTATTTCTTTAATTATGTATATACCATAACTTCTTTATAAACCTGCTTTTACTTTCCATTTGTTCAACATTTGTTATACATGTGTTATAATTGGTCGCATTTCTCAGATATTACATTTGAATACATAAATTTAATATACCAACTTTAAAAAATATTATTAGAAATAATTCTATTTAAGAAAATGTGTTGATGCGTGTAAGGTGTGTTATATATTCGATTCATTTTGCATTTATAACCATTATAACAAAAGAAAAATGAAATTCAGAACAAGCTCGGTACTTCTGTGAATAAACACGTATAAGTATTACTTAAAAATAAAGAAATGATAGTATTAAAAATGACCATTTTGCATTTTATCTTCGTTTTCAGGGATGCTGACGAAAAATGAATCCCTTTTCGGATATTATAATTCGAGTACGAGCGGGCGTAATTTTACATTCTTCAATGATCCAGCCAAAGCTAGACCGGTCACATTCATTGCTGATGCAGCTAATTTTACTGACATCTTGATTACCAATTGTAATAAGACGCATGGTTTGAATTTGACTCATTGCAAGGGGAACAAAGCATGTATTGTAGATACTATAGGCTCTTGCCAAAAAGACTTTGGTGAAATGTCGCTTGATACTGAAGAAAACGCCATCAAAGAAAAGGAATTAATTGGTATGATCTTTTTCAGTATAAAATATTTAAAGAAGCAGGTATTACACATCTTATTTTAAAGTGAACAATTGCAATGAAAAGTATTTATTTTATGCTTTTCTGTGGATTACTGATTTATCCGTGAAAATTATATTTGGTAATTTCACAGTGAAAATTATCAAAATATAATTTCACTCTTTTCAATGACGAAACTACTTTTTTAAGATTTTCCCCATGTGGTACCTCAATTTTATTTTTGCTGACAATTCTGACAATGTCAGGCTGTTTAAAGAAAAAGCAAAACTGAAATTGATTAATAACTTAAATGTCAAAAGTAATAAAAAGAAGAAAACTTACTTCTATTCATTCAAATTCATGAAATTCCAATCACCAAATTTCGTTTTTTTGTTTCATTTTGACAGTCTCAAAAATACATTCCTTCCCCATGCAAAACTGCTCTTGATGACATTTGGGCATATAAAAGTATCCTACGGGCAATAACTGCCGTATGCTTTATGAAAAATTGAAAGCATTGACAGCCATAACTCGAAGAATAAGTTAAATCAACCCAGCGTTCTTGAGCAGGTTTCCAAGTTTTCCATTTTCCTAGCTCCTTTTCTGAATGTTTTCACATCTGTCAACACTTATTTTTTGTCTGTTACAATCCTCAAATAAGTTTTCTTTCTTTTAAAAATGTGTATGACTAACAAATCCAAATTATATCCCTCTGAATCTTACACAATTATTTTCCTACCATGAAATACACAACTTTAAAAAATGGCTGCCGCTTACAATTTACAAAGCCAGGTCTAATATAAATTCGCACTAAGTAACAGAAATATGGATGGATGGTTGGACTTTTTCTCCTACAAGAATTGTTTGTTTTTATTATCAAAACAAGCGATCATTCATATTTTTTTAATAAAATTAATAAATATCACCGTCATTTAATGTTGATTGGCGGACTTATTTTTCAGCTCAAGACTTCTTTTTTTTTAATGAGAAATTCCGAATAAATGGGGCTCTCAATGGGGGAAACAGTTTTAATATTAACGTTAAAATTATGGAAATTTCGTTTTAACTTGTTTTTAAGCATAAAATAAAAAGAAAATTTGTCTGTTTGTTGTGTAAGATGTAATTTTATTTCATCTCGTGAACTTTAAAAACAGTATTCTCACTCGTGGCTTCGCCACTCGTGAGAATACTGTTTTTAAAGCCCACTCGATGAAATAAAATTTCATCTTACACACAAACAAACAAATATCCTCTATTTATCTATATAATTGTCATAAGTACATATGTTTTGATGCTTTTCTGCTCTTGCTTTTTTTCATATTTGATATGAATATTGTAAATAGAGTCTGAAAAGCTATAGAAAATAGCATTTTCTTAGAATATGCACTTTTTGAAAAACATATTTTCATGGCCTAAATTATTTTTTTAAAACATTTTTGTCATATAACACTGCAAGTAGTATAAGAGGGCATTTTTAGGGCATTTTTGGAGGAGGTGTTGCGGTAGGATGATGGATGCAGGGCGGGTTTTATGTGGATAGATTGCAGTAAAATGATAATCCAAAAAATGTAAAACTTCCAAGCCTTTTTTGATATTTCTATAAATTGATATATGTTATTGTTTTCTTTTTCATTTCAGATAACATGCCACCAAATCTTGAAATTCCGAATGAACTTTATGTTGGATACAGCAAAAATACGTCTGTAGAATTAAAATTCAAGCAGCAGAGTGTTGTGCAAGTCACTTGTAAAACTAACATAGAATCGAAGTCATACAAATGCGGTTAGTGTGTTCTTTGATAATATATAAAAGATTCATGATCATAGGTTTATACAAAGGAGTCATTTAACATGTAACGAAACTCGTTTGTCATAGTAGAGATATCCCATGCTTAATTAAGTATAAACTCTTAAAAGTGCGTTAATCATCATACCCTCGTATGATGATTTTGTTGAATGAATTCAGCGAATTGTATGGTCATCGATATTGTACAATATTTGAGCGTCATTCAATACATCGTTTTGTATTTATAGATAACACTATGTTCTCTTGGAATGTGTCACAGTCATTGCGAAATTCAATGGTGGATCTTACAATAATGGCGAAAGATTCTTTGAATGCATACTCGGAATACCAGCCGAACATTTACTATTGCGGGTGTGAAAAAGCTGATCAGTGTGATTACTCCTTGATCCAAATAGACGGTCCAGTGAACGGTTAGTAAAAAACTGTATGTTAAAGGTCCATGAAGCTCGGAAATGCTATTAGTTTTATTTCTCATTTTTATTTTTGGTACCTTGTTACAGTTTTAAAAACAATATATACTCATTTGCCATATATATTAACCATCTTTGCTTCTTTTGCTCTGTTTGCAATTGGTATGATTATAGTGAATTAGTACTTTGAATGGAAGTGAAAATATTACTTTGTTAACATTTTGGTACATTTACGACACATTACTGCAAATTCAGGACTTCTTTCTTCAACTGATAATCATTTAACATGCTCTATATCCAGTATTAAAACATTATAAAAAACATGTTATAAAATGATAGTTATAGAATAGTAATAGAATTACCTGGTAGGCGTCTCTCTCGTCAAGTTCCACCGATGGCATATTTATACATGAAATTATATAACAAGAAGTGCAATATCAAAATGACCAAGTAAATGATGATGCTGCGATTTCAAGTCGCATGTTGCAAGTTGGTTTTGTACAATTTAAGACTCTGTTATAAAGTAGTTATGTAGAAATAGAACTAAAATGCGAAACAACCCCAACAAATCAATATTAAAGTGATCTCTTCCATTCATGCACATGTTAGACAATTACACACTAAGCAAATATTATCAAAAAGAAAATAAACATTGCATCAGCAAGAAATCTTAATAACCATGCATTCAAAATATACATGTTTGCGAATTTTGATTTATGCGATGGATTGGAATTACCATCGCCATGTACAAACCTTTTTAATAATTGAAAAACCTTTTGCATCTGTTTTAGAAAATCGTGAAATTTTCATAGCACCATTGTTATTACAGACAACTTTTTCCGTGCTAGATGTGTTTGTCCAGAGACCCAAAACGGAACTTATTGCGAGAAAAAGGTGAATATTTGTGACAGAAATCCATGTTTTGAGAACGTTACTTGCAACGGTACACTTGATAATCCATGCGGTCCATGCCCGGCAGGCCTTACAGGCGATGGAGTTAAATGTTATGGTAAGTAAAGAAGTATTGCTTCGAAATTATGTGGCATGTTGATTTAAGTCGGTATGGATTTATAGTGCTTACAATTGGTAACTGACTGAGCGATAAGTCATGATATTTTCTATTGGCGTGATCGATACGTATTTTGATTCAATGAGATGAAATATGAAAGCAAGTTATTGTTTGGTGACCAAATAACATGTCCTTGTCTTTTGATAGGAAAATATCAAATATGGTTTTGTTCTTCAGGCAACTTGGGATATGTAACACTTAAAAAAGTATACACCATTTAAGGGCCCGACAGGGACCGACGAGTCAACTCATAAACATTTAACGGGTCGAATCCAAAAGGTTAAGGGTTTTGTGTTGTTAAGGGCTCACTAGTAAGTCGTATGCTGACTGACATCACTCTAAACAGTTAGAATAGTATCTTATTCTAACAGCCGCTGATACTAAGAACTCGTTCATATAAGGTTTAATATGTGTTTCAGTCTGAAAATATTGATTGGTTTAATTAAAATGTTTGAAAGGTTTATTGTTTGAAGGTAAAGACAAATTTGTGTGTGCGTATTTTGTCGTTTCTCATTTATGTTTGGTTAAGAGTCACCCAAAAGGGACGTCCGTGGTCTAGTGGTGAATGATGTTGACTTCAAACCACTTGCCGTCTCTCCCCGTTGTTGGCCCGAATCAGTACATCGACTTTGGATTTTTCCATGTATAACAGCTATCCAACTAGCTTACAGAACGTCGGTTGTTCCACTCAGGCGCCTTCTAGTGCCTCAAATAATCCACGGAAGGTCACCTGAAAAGCTTGAAAATCGCCATATGACCTATACAATGTTGGTTCGACGTACCCGCCAGCCTTCCCTCTGAAATAAAGTCACTCCGATACTATAACATGACAATTTCGAAAAACCCTGTTAGAGAAAAACCTGAATGTTATTCCCTCATTTTATTATTTACAAGCGGCACCTGGCCATTACCAACATCCTCTAATGAGCTAGCTTCTCACATGAAAAAAAATCCGATTTGCCTAAAGAGATTTGACTCCACAATACCGAATGGTCTGTAGTTCAAAGTCAACAATTTTAGTTATTCTTCCAAAAAGGCCTAAAAGTTGTCAAATGATCGAGGAAAAAGTAATAACCAGCAGATATATACAAGTCTATATTTCCAATACATGATTGTATTTCAGATACATGTTTTTATTTCAGATACATGCTTTTATTTCAGATACATACTTTTATTTCCAAAACATGTTTTAATTTCAGATACATGCCTTTATTTCAGATACATGTTAGTATTTCAGATACATGCTTTTATTTTAAGGTACACGTGTATATATTATTATTTCAGATACATGTTAATATTTCAGATATTGATGAATGTCGAACAAATCAGTCAAATTGTGGACAGCTTTGTAATAATACAATAGGTGGCTATACGTGTAGTTGCAGAAAGGGTTACGAAGTTGATGGCAACACGTGTAAAGGTACGTACATAAGTTATTTCTGCATTCTTTTTCATTGTTAAGTTTTCTTTCGTTGCAGTAAGGCATTAATGCCACAATTTATAAAGTCAAAATTTCATAATATATAGGTGTCTTTTTATTTCATTTTATTTAAGTGAAAAAGAACGTTTAACACATGTAATGTTTGTAATTATTATTATAAAATACAAACAGATATTGACGAGTGTAGCAGTAACTCTTCCTATTGTGATTCTCGCCAAAACAAATATTGCGTAAATACGATTGGGTCCGCAGATTGTCTATGTATGCCTGGTTTTACGGAAAATGGTGGAAAGTGCGTTAATGTTAAAGGTATGTAACCTCACATGATCTATTGATTTATCATCGATCGTTGAAATGTTTCCAATAAATCATTCTTTGCACCTTTCATCCCTATTACAATAACAATGACAGCTTCCATATGGCAAATATCAAATATAGAATTGGTCGAAATTTATTTAAAGGCCCATTATGCCTTAAAAATGCTATAATTTTCTCACAGACTTTATACCGTTTTCTTTTGTCACAGTTTCCAAAAAAAAAAAATAATCTCATATACATAAACTTTAAAAAAAAATCCCATATACATAAACTATCTTTTGCTTACTTTGCTCTGTTTGCAAATGGTATATCTATTGAATTAGTATTTTGTATGGAAGTCAAAATAGTAATTTGTTTAATTTTTGCTACCTTTACGACACATAAGATTTCTGAGGTATAATATGCCTTAAAGTGAACTTCGCCATAAATAAAGCAATCTGATTAAAATCAGCTTTAAATAACGTTCCGCTTTTACATAAAAGAAATAAGTAGATCTGAACTTTAGTCAGATTGCAAAATAAAGATAATATAACTGCTTACAAAGGAATTAATTAAGATTCTTTCATTTGAAGATGTTCTGTATACAGTGTATATGATTTTAAGATAGCGTTATTTTTTTTTACAAACATGCTTTTTAATGTACACCCAGTGAATGAAATACTTGTTTAGCTTTCTTAGTGTATTTGAACAGCAACAGTAGTGGTTAACAGTATATTTGATACATACATGTATATATTTCCATGTACATTTTGGTAAACGTAACTGAAATATTGAAATTAAAAGGCGGCGTGACCGAGTGGTTAACGGATCGGACTAGTAATCTAAGGATTGCTGACCGCCTGGATTCAAACCCTGTCAAAGACGTTGTTTTTTGAGCATGAAACTTTACATTCATTGCTTATTAGTACGGGTTGGTTTTCCAGGAACAGATTCGAGAGTATTTCAATAAGCTAATAGCTTCCAACACAATCGAACTAAAAACCAAAAGATCTTATACAATGGCAAGCAGGGACTCGTTTTGTTATATATATTTGATTGCGTTTATATTTATTATGTTGACATACATTTTAGAAAAGCATTCCTATGGAGGTGTTCTCGTGTTCGAAGCAACACCATCAGTGACTAAAGAGGACCTGAAGAAGCCAATGATTGATTATGTAAGTCTCAAAATTACACACTGAATCTATGTTTTAAATATGCCATGTTTTGAACAATCTATCCAAATTTTCAGGGATTTCAATATAAAATTAGGAAAAACTAAGTTATGAACATTTAAAGAGTCTTGTCCAACTGCATAATTTGATTGCAAAGGCTAAATCAGATTAAATTTTAGCAGCTTAATAATAAAATCTTTAGGAAATACGCACATTGATGGTGAACGTTTTGATTTTATGTATATGTTTAATATACTCGGCGTCAACATGGTATGTTAAACTTTACAAAGTTTTTTTTAAAGCTTCTTAAAATTTACCAGCATGTGATTGTTATTGTATATAAACGTGTTTTAAACCTGCATGCCTCCATATGAGCCGATATATTTTAAGAGAATGATACTTAGAAAAAAGTAAGGTCTTAAGAAGGTAAAAATATTAAATTACTTATATGTTATGATGTGCAATTATTGGCCGAATTTGCACAGAATTTTTCACCTATTTCCACTGCGTGACTTACGCAGTAAGGGCTACTTTTGCATGTTTTGACTTCATTTTCTTTCTTTTTTTTTTTTGGGGGGGGGGGGGGGGTTGAGTGTTATTTATACATTTTCTAAATCTTCGTGAATATGAGTATGGTTCTGAAGGCATGCTGCTTTAATGTAGAAGAAGTACATTATACCGGAAATAATTGAGTTTTTTTATTTAAACGAGCTGTACTTAAACAAGATGCACTAAAGTGTTCTAATGTAGCAAAATTTAAGTCGGTATTATACCACATTTTGTATTTAAGTATTTATATAATATTATACATACGAGCGACCTAAGACGGTACTGGATGTCATTAAATCGATAACTTTTTTGCAAGTTAATAGATGGAACATCAAACTTTGTACAGGTATGAACTCAAGGAAGACAAGAGCCCAGTTTGAACTTGGTGATGTTCACCGAATAGGTATCAACATGAAACTTTGTAGGTAGATAGATCTTATTGAGAAGGTGTGCATTGTAAAAGAACAATAACAATGGAGTTGTTACCCTTTGTTTATTTTGACACTTTGAACTTTGTCCGGGACATTACTCTAAAATTATAAGAGACATCAACATGTAACTTTGTAGGTAGATAGGTCTCATTGGATAGAGATGTAGTGCTAAAGAACCATAATTCTGCCTTGCCTTGTTTTGAAGTTATTGCCCTTTGGTTATTTTTACTTTTTGACTTTTGTCCGCACTTAACTCTAAAACTATTAGAGATATCAACATTAAACTTTATAGGTAGATATATCTCATTAGAAAGAACTGCAACTCCTGAATTTTACCCGGGACATAACTCTGAAACTATAAGAGATATCATCACGAAACTTTACAGATAGATATATCTCATTTAATAGAAGTGCCGTGTAAAAAAACATAACTCTGCCTTGCCTAATTTTGGAGTTTTCGCCCTTTCTTCATTTTTTATACTTTCCTGAGTCCAACATCGGGGAGCATCATCCGGTTCAACTGGTTCTTGCTTTTCAAAGTGAAAATGACAAAAATTTGTATACCCCCCCCCCCAAAAAAAAAAAACAAAAAAAAAAAAACAACAACAACAAAAAACATACAAACAATTTACAATGGCAAAAATGATGTTGGTTCCTCAAATTGATATATTATTTATTGTTTTAGCTAACCAGCATATTCAGTACATCTGGAAGTGTTTCTACACCTGGAAGTGTTTATTTTGTGGAACTTGTCTCCTTTATTGTCCTTCCATCTTCACGGTATGTGATATTTTGAATGTATACTAAGAATTTGAAAATGATTATAATGGCATAGCATTATGATAAATCATGCCATATTCTTCTTAACACTCGAGCTCGTTCGTCTTTATTAACATTATACAATGATAGCCAACATATTGCGGATGCGTAAGAGTGTACGGAAGCGTACTGGTGCTTATTCATAATGTTCTTTGAAAAATACCTCCTTTGTGTGAAATAAAAAGGCCAATTAGGAGTTAATGATTCCTACGAAGAACTTCCTAACTATTGCGATGGAGATAAAAAGTCAAATAAGGACTTTAAAAAATACTCCCACCGTCCCGTGAAGGAGCTTTAAAAAATCCTAATTCTATGTATTGAATAAAAAGGCATTGCTTTCTCGTGTAGGGCACACGCATTTTTTAATTGGGGACCATACGCCGCTTTTCATGGAATGATACCACTGTGTCACATTGAAGGTTCCATGATAACCGCCGTATGAAAACATCTGCGTATGTTTCTAAATTCAAAATGTCATCATTTTTCGTGTTTACATGTTTTATTTTACTTAAGCCGCTGCTTGGGGCGTGGACGGAAATTTGCACTTTTCAGTACCGTCCATGAAGAGACTAAATCAAACCGAGCCTGCAAAATTTTAATCTTGCCATGTTGGACTTTCTTTAGGAATTCTGATTTTCTCTACATTATAACTTCTACGTAGAACTTTATAACTCTAACGTTGGAGATAAAAAAAGTCTAATTAGGACTTTGTTACTCCTGTCGTTCTAAAGGGAAATTAGAAACCCCTAACTCTACGTAGTAAATAAAAAAATCTGCTAAGGACTCAGTGACTTCTACGAAGGAGAAAGTGAAAGTATAACTCCTACGTAGAACTTTATAACTCTTACTTTGGTGATAACAAAACCTAATTAGGAATTTACATCTCTTTGTATTTATTTTCATAATTAGCCTTTTTATTATACCGAATAGTTTCTGAAACCCTATGTAAGAGATATAAACTCCTAATTTGGATTTCTTAATTATGTAGGAGTTTTTATTATAGAACAGTATAGAATAACACCAGGATGCTTCTTTGATAATAATCAATAAGGGAGAGCGGCGTAAATAGAGAGTAGGTTCCCGTACGGCCAAACCTGACAAGTGAGAAAAGCGGCACACAGGAGTACATCGTCAGAAAAGGAGTTGGAGATTAGGATATCCTGACGGTTAACACACTCACTAGGACAACATTAATCCTACGTTTTCTTTAACATTTATCTATAATTAACATTTTGGTTCATGATATTTTGAAATGACCCTCGAGTTAAACGCAACCAATGAAATAAGACAATAGTTATTGTAAAATAAGAGACCCTCTTTAACAACAATTGTATCATTTTAGAAAAAAGCGTGATACATCATCATTTAACAAGTACGAAATGGACTATATTGTACACATGAACCAGTTGGTACCTACAGAGAACCTAACAGCAAGTCTAGATAACACTTTTAACAACTTAGGACAAGAGAATGGGTTCGTCTCACCGAAAATTCCTGGCTTAAATGCAGTTGTAAAGATTTCTACGAAGGATTCTAAAATATTTTCAGGTAATCGCAATCATTTCTTTACTCAAAAATACTCAAAATTATATTTATTCTAGACCCTTGCTTTTAAGTCATATTTTTGACGTATATCAGTTTGATTGGCGAGCGAGTTACTGTATCGCCCATTCAGATTAGTGGCGACATATATGGATAACTTCACTCTTCTCTCTGTTCGCTCTCACGGGACAGTAATAATGTGGCTAGAGGGACAATAGGTAACTGTTCGTCCTTTTTGATGTCATTCTGTTCATGCCGTAATGCTTTTATGCGGCTATTTTCTATTGTGTGGCTAAAAAGAACAATAAAAGGAGCAAAAGGTTAGCCACGTAAGAACATCCGTCTTTCCGTCCGTCTGTTCGTCCGTCAGAAAACTTGTCCGGACTACTCCTCAAAATCTTCTGAAGCAATTTTATCCAAACCTTAAAGGAATGATCAGTACCAAGTCTACTTGTGCATATAATCGACTTTCCGGTTCTGAGAAATGACACTTAACTGCTTTGATTTTCAAAGTTTGTGTGGACTTCTCCTCGTATACCACTGATGTGATTTAAATGAAACTTTACGAAATTTATTTGTACGTCACGTACTTGCGACACTATATCACCTATTGTTCCGATTGAATGATTTTTGGCCGAGGAATGGCCCTTGAATAAAAATGTGTTTTTTTTTTTTACTTTCCAGCTACACATAGCTTGTCTTGACTACTTCTCAGAAACTAATAGTGAAATTTCATCCAAAATTGAATGATTGGTACCAAGTCATTAGGTTTTTTTCTGGTTCAACGATTTTTGTCAGAGTTATGGCCCTTTATTATTTTTATTTTGAAAATTTGTCCTTATACCACTTTTGCAATTTCGATGAAACTTTACAGGATTGATCTGTATCAAAAGTACTTGTGCATATTACACGAGTTTTCTGCTTGAATGAATTTTGGCAGAGTTATGGCCCTTGAATAAAAATGTGTTTAAAATGTTTGCCCGGACTACATCTCTTGTACCTTTAATGCAATTTCAATAAACAAAAACTTTACAGGACTGATTAGTAGCTTAAGCACTTGTTCATAATACACAGGTTTTCCGCTTGAATGAATTTCGACAGAGTTATGGACCTTCAATACAAAATGATTTTTGTGTGTGTTACCAGATATAAACTACTCTGAAACTACTGGTACAAATCCACCAAAACTTTACAGAAATGATCAAAACCATGTCTAGTTTGCATCCTATCAACATTTTTCGATTCAATGATTTTTGTCAGAGTTATGGTTCTTTTAATGATATTGATTTTTAAGATTTGTCTGGACTACTCCTCTTATACCACTAATGCAATTTCCATAAAAAACTAAAGGATTAATCTGTATCTGAAATACTTGCCCATAATACTCTGCTTTTCCGGTTGAATGATGTTTGGCTAAGTTATTGCCCTTGAAAAACAAAACTGCGTACTGTCCTGCTAATGATTTTTGTGTCTCCTGCAACGCAATAGCTAAGACATGCAATTGACTATCATGAGGCGACACGCCTAGTTTGTTTAAGTATCAATTTCAATTAAGACATTTTGTTGTTCTCTCAACATAGATAAAGATGGAGGGATCTGTAATATGCCTGGATCTGTAACCTGCGATGATATATCAACCAAGTGTGTATCTGCAAATGGAGATTATTCATGTATATGCAGGGAAGGCTTTAGTGGATGGGCCAACCCTTATACAAGCTGTAAAGGTAAGAGTTTTCTGAAAAATAATCAAACAAGTGTGAAAATTCGGTGTATGTTGTAAAGTTCCGTTTCTTATGAAAAATAGTAAATGTATGCATTTGTTAATTCACCGGAAAACACCGAACATTGTCGAAAGGCTTGGAAAACAATAAACGTTATGACCTTCAAGAACGCTGTTTCAAAATTATACCAAGTTTTTCAAGATAACAATTTTATGTAGAAATGCTTTATCGAATACAAGGAAAGTTTGATGAAGAAACACATAGGCCTACATGTGTAATGAGTTTTTAAAAACTAAAATAGATAACAACCTTTATGCCTTTATATATGACCTTTACAAAAGAAAAAAAAACAACATATAATGAATATTTCACAGATATTGATGAGTGTAGTCCGAAACCATCTACAGTGTGTATAGGAGGAAAAAATTGTACAAACTACCCAGGGAGCTACTTGTGCCATTGTGAACCAGGGTTTCGGTACGAAAAACCTAATTGTGTAGGTAGGTATATGGGTCTAGTTGTTGGCACCTAATCTAGAATTAAGTTTGTGACTTTCTTGGCAGCCAAGAGCAACATAATCTTTTCAACCCTTGCTTTTTTATATTTACTCAATATATACAATTTACTACAGCATTTATGTTGATTGTGATTTTTTTCCTAATTATTTTTGCGATTGCTGCACATCAGTTGTAAATACTTCAAGAAAGCATAATTGAATCCGTTATATATGGTCGTTTATAAACAGTTTATAATATAACCGTTTATATTGTGTCTAATACCCTGTAAAATATCTTGATATATCAAATATCATATTTAACCCAGCATAGATATTTCTCAGTTAAAATGATTCGACTGAAAGTAACCATAAACACAATGCAGAAGAAAAAATAATTATTAATATTGTTTAGACATTTTTACATCAGTCGAGTAAAACGATAACAAGCGAAAGTACGAAATAATTATGTTTATTAATACAAATGTATGTACATACATAACATAATAACTGAACTACATGATCAATAGTATTTTTCACTATCAATCTATATATTCACGATATTTGTTCTATTCTTCGATGGTTAAAAGAACATGTACTAACTTTTATTTAGATATGTGCGACTCCAGTCCCTGCCAAAACGGTGGACAATGTATACATGGTAACACAGAGGGAATGTATCTGTGCAAGTAAGTGTGAATAGTTAAAGATTCACTTTGTATTGTGTTAGAGACCTCATTAGCAACGTCTTATTTAATGTAAAAAAGTCACAATTTCATTTAATAATAAGTATATTTATGTGGTTTTAGTTTTGAATAAATTGGCCTGTAATAATGTTTTCTAATGTTTGGTGAAGCAATATCCCAAATACAAATCCATCTATAATTTCACGCATGAGCAGCTTTCTTTACAGAACCATCAGCTCTTTACAAACTAGGTAGACAGTCGATACTATATCACCTCATGTGGCTATTGATTTGAAGATGATAATTACATGATTCAAATTGTCATAAAAATGCATTATTTTATCTTTTACAGGTGCGATGATAAATGGACAGGACCAACTTGTGAAAATGAGAATTCTGAAGCAGAGAGTAAATAAACTTTGAACATCCTTGTTAACTTTTTTAATTCATGATAATGTTTAAGTATTATATCACACATAATGCATGCACTCGATAGTATTGTTGTTTAATTTGAAGTTGGTTAATTTGACTTGGAATTCGTTTTAAATTGGCATCTTAAAAAAAAAGATTTTTGAAAATACTTCTGTTTGTATTTATGATATATTGTACATGTTTCAGTATAAGTTTTGTATCTTTGTATTTTTACTAGATGAAATGAAAACATATCATGTTTAAAGTGTCTATTGTACCGAAGACAGTGAAACACAAGTCTGCCTTACATAACAATAAAATCAACAACCATTTTATGATATTATCATTAGTATTAAAATCATCATTTTTTATAATTGTAATTGATTGCATCATCATCATCATCATCATCATCATCATCATCATCATCATCATCATCATCATCATCATCATCATCATCGTCATTAACATTATCATCATCATCATTATCATCATCATCATCATCATCATCATCATCATCATCATCATCATCATCATCATCATCATCCTCATTTCTTTCTATATTGATAATTTTTATTTTTATCATCTCTTTATTATCATTTTATTTTATTTACATTATTATCATTATCATTGTTATTATTACAGAGTTAAAGATAATTGCCATAGCAGTGGGAGCAAGTGTAGGGGGCGTTTGTCTTTTCTTACTTTGTGGATTATGTGGAATGTACAGGTACCTTATACATTATTTATAAAGCATATTCATCAGTACAAATCAAGATGTCTGATTAATCTGAATCTTAGATATTACATCCGCAAAATAACACTGTTTCTTCTTACTCGGTATTCATGTAATCATTGATTAAACGATATGGGACTACTTACAATAATTAAGAAAATGTGAAATTGTACATATAGAAAATTAGTAGTTTTGTTTAAGAAAGGAACATCAAGGGATGTTTTTTGTGCACCTTATGAGGTATCATCAGATATCAAAAGAAGCAAATAAATAAGTCCACAACAAAGGCTTTCAATTAATTTTCATCGCAACTAATCTGCTTATATGATCCATTATTCATAAAAGTATTATTTCTTGTTATGTTGACGCTTATTTGATCTTATAAAGCCTTGAAAATGGTAAAAATTGTGCAGAATTTTTATGAACTAATTTTGATTAAAATCTTTGTGACATGAAAATAAAAAACTTGGTTAACTAAGTATTAATATATCTATTGCAGACGATACAGAAATCGATACAGCGGTTATCGCAGACGACCACTATCATCTATGGATTTCGATAGTTCTCTCGGGTTGGCTGGTACTAATATAAGGACAAAAGACTTTCCGATAGATGACGATACTGATACGGCATTTAGTATTCCCAGACCTAAATATAATGAAAACGAGTATGATATGCTTAGAACAAATGCATCGTCTCTAAATGAGACAAGCGGGAAGGACACTGGAAAGGTAAAGTCAAAACATTGTCAAACAACATATACAGGCAAACCTGTTTAAAAGACCACCTCTGGATAACAAAAGAAAAACATTGTTTAAATAAAAACCATTTTCAGCAGCCGTTCTGTCATAGTTTCGAACCCTGAAAAAAGACCGACCACGGTAATCATAAAACACATACGCAAACGATTAATCATAAGTTTGCCTGAACAATATTCGATGAATGACAAAAAGTCAAATTATAGTTACTTTGCTTAATAGCATGCTTTTTAACCAGTTGTTCTTTTTATATTTCTACAAATTGCTTTCAAAACACATCTTAAGCAGTTCTTTTTATCCATTTACTGTTTTAATAAGCTTTCAACATTTAACACTGCAAACCCTTTAACTTTTGGGCATTCCTTACCGAGTTTTTAGGTGTTTGACTTCGAATTATTTGCTCATTACCAAATGAGAGTTTATTTTCGTTAAGAACTTTAAAAAATTAAAGGAACTTCACTGAGGTCCAGAAGCCTAAATACCCTAAACAACTGAAGTTTGAAATACTTACATAGGCTAACCGAGGCACACAAATCAGAAAGATATGCAAGAGATAATTAAAAATTATATTCAGATATAAATTGAAAATTGTATTTTGTGTTATTTTTTGCCCGATTTGAGTGCAAATCTCTGTCCAATTTGACGTCATTATTCACAATTACAGAATAATTGTTCTGAGAAAAAAAAAACGGATTGAATCTTTGCACACAGACTATTTGTTTAGACATAGATCAGACGAAACATTAATGTCGAAAAATATTTTCCAATTCGTCAAGTCAAAAAATCGCAGTGGAGTCCCTTTTGCAAACTATTCATCAAGCTTACGAAAATTGTTGGTTCTACCATGATCCAGGGGATCTTTATTCATTGAAAGCTGGTATATACGACGCCATATTACGCACCCTTGATCGATGTGTCCCAAAATAATTAATTTTATATTTGCATACATTTTACAGTACAACTATGCATATCAAGACGATAATGGAACATTTTTCTAAGGGTGAGACGTGCAAATATATTCCTGATATAAATGCCTGTTTGATAAGTTTTAGCATGTTTTAGCAAAAGTATATATGCATGCCTATCGTAGAACTCTTCTTTATAGACTTGCAGTTACATGTATTTCTTTATAAAGCTTAAAGAAGCCTCTGAAATCACTGTCGTTTCTCTCTTTGCACCTTACATTCTCTCTTGTCGCGAATTCATGTTATATATTTCTAATATATACGGAAGACCGGTGGGGACATTTCAACTTTATGAATTGCCGATTTTATCTTCGTGAATTCACAATATTGACATCATGAATTCACGTTTTTTTCAACCTACGAAATTCACGAATTTACAATTTATTTCAGCGTCATGAATTCACGATTACAACTTCATGAATTCACGATTTCAACTTTTGAATTCACGATTTCAACTTCATGAATTCACGATTTCAACTTTTGAAGTCGGGAATTCTTGAAGTTGAAAATGTTTCCACCAGTCATTCCTAAATACATAGAATATGTGCTTGATAATTATTATGATTTTATAAACATTACATCTGTATGATAATAATCATAATTATGCTATCTTTTTATGTAAAGAGCCATGTGTAGACAAATTGTATATCTGTATGCAAATTATGTAATATACGTTATGTCTATGAAACTTCTTGCTGTATATATGTAAATCATTACGTATTATCTATATTTGCAAGTTATATGTAATCTTATTTGGCAAATGTAATGGTTATTGTATTTATTTTATTGTCTTTATATGCAATATTTAATGTTAATTGTGTATATCTTTTTGTAAACTATATGTAATCAAACTGCAATGTGTGTGCATCTTTATGAGTATGTCAAGTGTTTTATAATTAAAAAATAGCATGTTTTCGTCTTTAATGTTTATATATAACGCTTGTATATCTACATTAGTACTGTAATAAGTTTTCTGTAAAGATGACCATTTTAGACTGCCGTGGGTTGTTCATTAATTGTATTGTATTGTATTGTATTGTATATGTACTATGCATACAATCAAATGTATTATTTTTTATATTTGATTTTTCCTACTGGAATTTGTATCATTACAGCATATCAAAATTATTCGTATATTTTAAATACCAGTTAAAAAGCTTCAATTCTATGTTAAAATTGTTCTGTATCTGATTTAAAAATAAATGTGAGCCTTTTGAGTTGAATCCTTTATTGTGGTAGATGTAACAGAAGGGAACACATCGAGAAAATCTCCTTAACGGAAGCGGGATTTTTTTATAATTATGCACCTTTTTAAATATTGTCAAATTCGCATTGGTATCTGTACGTTTAAACTGCTATATTTCGTCAGTATACTTTAAATTTATTATTAAATCAGATACAGAACAGTTTATCACCGGTCATTTTTTTATATGTGTTGGTCTTTTCATAAACATGAGTTAGTTCAAAATATGATCCATATTTATCAACAGTGGCATTACACTGATGTCTAATGAATTTTAAGAGGATCCTTTAGTCTCGCGGAAATAACTCGTTTTTGTGTCGCCTCTACGGAGTAGTGGCGACATATAGGGATCACTTCTCCGTCGCCTGTCTGTCCGTCTGTCTGTCTGTCCGCACTCACAGGAGAGTAATTATGTGGCTCTTTGATGTCATTCATTCCGTAATGCTTTTATGTGGCTATTTTCTTTTGTGTGGCTAAAAAGAACAATAGAGAGAACAATAGAGTAGCCACATAATTACTGTCCTGTGAGAACATCCGTGGACTACTCCTCATAAACTACTGGTGCAATTTCATCCAAACTTTACAGGAATGATCAGTACCAAGTCTAGTTGTGCATATTGTCAGCATTTACCGGTTCAATGATTTTTGTCAGAGTAATGGCCCTTTAATAATTTTTAATTTTAAAGTTTGTCCGGACTACTTCTCTTATACCACTAATGCAATTTCAATGAAACTTTACAGGATTGATCTGTAGCTCAAGTTTTTGCGCATGTTGCACGGGTTTTCCGGTTGAATGATTTTTGGCCGAGTTATGGCCCTTTGATAGAAAAAGGTGTTTTTTTCTGTGTGTTGCCAGATACACAAAAGCTTGTCCAGACTACTCCTCATAAACTACTGGTGCAATTCCATCCAAACTTTACAGGAATGATCAGTACCAAGTCTAGTTGTGCATATTGCCAGCATTTTTCGGTTCAATGATTTTTGTTAGAGTTATGGCCCTTTAATAATTTTTAATTTTAAAGTTTGTCCGGACTACTTCTCTTATACCACTAATGCAATTTCAATGAAACTTTACAGGATTGATCTGTAGCTCAAGTCCTTGCACATATTGCACGGGTTTTCTGGTTAAATGATTTTTGGCCGAGTTATGGCCCTTTGATAAAAAGGTGTTTTTTTTCTGTGTGTTGCCAGATACGCAAAAGCTTGTCCAGACTACTCCTCATAAACTACTGGTGCAATTTTATCCAAACTTTTCAGGTATTATCAGTACCAAGTCAAGTTGCGCACTGTCCGTCTGTCTGTCCGTCTGTCACAAAATTTGTCCAAACATGAAATTGGCCATCATGAGGCGACACATGTGATTACTGATCACTCTTGTATTAAATGAGCCGCGTCATGACAAAACCAACATAATGGGTTTACGACCAGCATGGATCCAGACCAGCCTGCGCATCCGCGCAGTCTCCATGGATCCATTTTGTTCGCTTACAAACCATATTACAAGTAGAGAAACAGATAGCGAACAGCATGGACCCTGTTCAGACTGCGCGGAGGCGCAGGCTGGACTGGATCCATGCTGGTCGCAAATCCACTATGTTCGTTTTGTCATGACGCGGCTCAAATTATTTATCTACCAAAGAAAAGTTGTCCTTCAATGTATATATATACGACCTCAAATTTTGTTAATTGCAGGTAGAAGAACAAGAGAATCAACTACCCAAGGTCACCAAGGAGACGTCTGCTTACGGTAATGACAATCCGTCTTTTCTTCATAGTGAAGATATGGAGGCTGCTCGCCGCTCATCTAAACGTTCCAGCAAAAACGCTTATGACTATTTCTGATCAAACAAAAAAAATTAATCCAAACTGCAATATGATCGTAAAAATGTTTTTTTAATATATAAATGATGTGTGTCTTTGAAATATTATGTTATGTGTATGGCGGGTGTGCGTCGTTTTAAACGGCGATTATCAGCCCTGACTGTATGTAGAGAGTGGGAAATTTATATATAATTATGTATTTTATAGGGATTTAAAGTCACATTGCCCTAAGTATTGTACATATCATTGTGAAATGGATTTAAATAATTGCGAATGAAAAATTTACGTGTCATAGGTTTCATTTAGTTTAAACATATTTTATTGCATGAAATACATGTCAAATATTATACAAACGATGAGTATATAACAAAAACCAAATGGGTTAACAACATTAGATTAAGCCCTTCCCAGAAATGAATTTTATAGAAAAAAATACTCTAAGGGCAACAATGATTACTTTTCATACATATATATAGGCTGTAAAATATGTAATTGTTATTAGCTCACCTGACCACGAAGTGGTCAAGGTGAGGTATAGTGATGGGGCTATGTCCGGCATCCGTCTTCGTGCATAGTGCGTCGTTCGCCGTCAACAATTGGGTTGTTAACACTCTAGCAGTCACAGTTTGGATTGGATCAGCATCAAACTTTGTCAGAATGTTTGTCTTAATAAAATACAGGACAAATACGAAGATGAATCATCTCTGGTCAAAAACTAGGTCACGTGAGCTAAAAATAGAAAAGCTTGTTAACACTCTAGTGGCTGCAGTTTTAATTCAAATATTCTGGAAATTTGTCAGGAATGTTGTTTTGATGATTTCTAGATCAAGTTCGAAATTTGTCAGGAAGGTTGTTTTGATTTTTTCTAGGTCAAGTTTGAATATCGGTCATCTTGGGTCAAAAACTAGGTCACAGAAGCTAAAAATAGAAAAATCTCGTTAACACTCTAGTGGCTGCAGTTTTCATCCAAATATTCTTGAAATTTGTCAGAAAGGTTAATTTGATGATTTCTAGGTCAAGTTTGAATATGGGTTATCTCCAGTCAAAAACTAGGTCACAGGAACTAAAAATAGAAAAATCTCGTTTACACTGAAGTGGCTGCAGTGTTGATCCAAATATCCTGGATATTTGTCAGGAAGGTTGTTTTTATGATTTCTAGGTCAAGTATGAATATGGGTTGTCTCCGATCAAAAACAAGGTCACAGGGACTGTAAATAGAAACATCTTGTTAACATTCTAGTGGCTGCAGTTTTGATCCAAGTATCCTGGAAAATGATCAGGAAGGTTGTTTTGATGATTTCTAGGTCAAGTTCGATTATGGATCACCTGGTGTCCAAAAACTAGGTCACACTGCCCAAATATGTAAAACATTGTTGATACTCTAATGGTAACATTTTTGACTCAGTTCTCTTCAAACTTGGTCAGGATGCTTTTGTCAAGTTAATTGCTTGGAGGAGTTCAAATATGGGTATCTCTGATGAAAAACTAGGTCACAGGAGCTAAAAATAGAAAATCTTGTGAACTCTCTTATGGCTACTGTTGGTATCCAAATATCCTAGAAATTGGTCAGCAAGTTTGTTTCGATGATTTCTAGGTCAAGTTTGAATATGGGTAACCTGGGGTCAAAAGGTAAGTCACACTGCCCAAATATGGAAAAACATTAACACACTAGAGGTCACATTTTTAACTCAATTGTCATCAAACTTGGTCAGGATGCTTGTCTAATACATTGCTCGGATGTGGTTGATAGGTCAGGGGAGCGATCTAGGGCCATCTTGGTCCTCTTGTTTAACATTTCATTTCACCTGACTCGTTTAAGATGTATTGATCACTATTTAAAACCATATGTATGCTTGAATTTACTTTTTGTACCTGAATATGCATTGATTATTCTTAAATTGTAGATAAATTTCGTTTTATTTGAAAATTGCCTAATTAACAAGCTTTTGTTGCAATGTGCTTGTATGTGCAAGCATCGTAAAAGTATATCCGAAAGGCTATTTTTATCAAGTTTATACATGTATATGCATCTTAAAACAATAGGGCCGGTACCTGAATTTATAGTGCAAAATGTAGTAAATATTATCACAGAAAATATTTCCTATCTTGTGTTCGGTAATTTAAATGATAAGAATGTTTTTGTATGTTTATGTTATGTCAGTGATATGTTTGTTTTGGTTTGTATGTAAAGTTTGTTTCTAATACCCAGATTTCTTTTTATGTTTGCTATTTTTATGCTGTGTGCTAGTACGTTACATAAGATACCATTTTTTTTGCTTTATCATTATGCACAAACATTACTTTTCAAATAAATACCACCTATTCATACCAGTTAAAAGAACTATTTAAGAAATAAAAAAAATGTTTAAAGTGAAATTAAAAGTAAATTTTCTTTTTTTTTTGAAAATATTGATTCATTTTATTAAGATAAAAAGTCACATGATTATAGCAATGGTTTCCTAATTGTTTTCAATCATATTTAAATCAGATGTAAATAATCATGCATGTCATGTCTAAGACGCATTATTAACCAAGAATAATTGTTTTATGATCACATTAATGTTATTTTGTTGTATGTTTTACTCTTGCCAAATCATCTTGAACATAGTTCATTTCTAGAAGATGCCATGCACGTTAATTTTATACATGTGATTTATTAGTCATATTTTATCCATTAGATTTACCCGGCATTACTTTTTCAAGCTGATTTACCACAAATTTTTATCCATGTAATTGACCACAAATTCCACACACATAATTTCTCAACAGTTGTATCCAGTTGATTACCAGTATATTTTCTAGGTATTTAAATTCAGATGTAATCATAATGGGTTTTTTACAGGTAATTTTATCCATTTAATTTGATCAAGAAATGCCCACGTGGTTTGCGTACTGATCCAAATTATTTATCCTTGAATTAACATTAAATTTTTTCCATGAAATTTGCCATCAATTTGTTTTGTAAAGTGACATAGTAAATTGTAAGGTTTTATCTTAAATGTGCAATGTATCATGACTTAGGTATATTTATCACAGATCTTACTTTGAAACTACACGAATGCAAGTTTATGTTTAAATAAAAGGTAGAAAAAATCGACAGAACTGCAGTTTTAGCCTGCTTATGCACATAGATTTTTGAATGCTGTTTACTCGGATTTGTTCACTGATTATTATTTGCGTTTGCACACATTTCTTTTATCTTATATGTTGGATGAGTTATTTAGTTTTATAACAGAATAAATACTTTATTTTCATCCATTTGGTGTTGTCATTAATTACTTGACTCATTAGCAACGGGTTAACGATTGTTACTTATTTTCTAGCAGTAAAATGCAAGGCATTATATTTTCCCTTTAGATAATTGTTACAAAATCAGATAAAATAGTTACAAGGCTAATCAAGGCACTGCATTCTTTCTTCAATTCTAAATGTTGTGTTGAGTGAGACACTTTTTAAATATCTGCAATGATGCAAGTATATCCCACGCCTATAACAATGATTGTCTTTATTGGTCTATGTTAATCAATAGTATGAAAACTATGATATATAAGAATTTTACCAAGTTTTTCATTAAAGATTAAAAAAACAAAAAGGGAAAAAATGAGCATATTTTCTTGACATTTTTACAAAAAATTATATTTTTTTAACACAGAAAATAAACGTTATATCCTCTTTTATTTTTTAACAAAAAAAATAAAGCCATGTCAATAGTAAATGGTTTCTGCTAATTTACCTTAGATAAAGTCTAAAGGAAAATAGTTGTCCTCCATATATTCAGGTGCAGAGACGTTTTTAATCTTAAAGATTTTACAAAGTATAATGTGTTCCACTCTTTCATCAAAAGATTTTATAATTGAACGATTTATTTATATGAGGTTTATCAATGTTAAAGCGGCACGTCTCCAGATTCATGCTAATTTTTATGAAAATTTTAAAAATGTGTTTTTAAAGTATTATTCCGTGTAATAACCAAAAGGAAGCAATTTACAAGATATCAATGGCACTTACAACACACGTAAATTACTAAAAAAAGAGGACAAAATATGCAAAAAAAATATCCTTTACTGCGTTAGTAACGCAGTTAGAAATATTGTTATAAATACTGAAAAATCGGTCAATAATCGCACATAACATGTTTAAAATTGATACTAGAACTTTGAATCTTTACACTTTTACTAAAAATCTTAGTACATTTTCACAGGTTTAATTTTATTGAAATACTTTCCACTCATCTGGGGCGTGCAGCTTTAATATTTTTACAATCCCATAATAATTGTCAAAGAAAATCCGAGAGGCTGAAAAAGAATAATTAAATTTTGTCTATCGCAGTTTTTCCAGTTCTTCGGTCCTATAAGATTTGCAAATGAAGGTACCAATAATTGCCTATCAAATACCGAAACAAAATTTCTAGGAATAAAAAAGAAGAAAAAAATCGTTTCCTATATGTATAGGGTTTTTATTAGCGGTTATTTCGCCATTTTCGCATTTAATTGTTTAATTCTCCTAAAGCCGGTGCTAGGGGGAGTGGACGGTAACTTGCACTTTCCAGTTTCATTCATGAACATGCTCAAGGAAACCGAGCGAGCCAGCAACACGTTCAATTTTGTCGTTTTAGGAGTTCGGGATTCTAAAAAATTAAAAAGAACAACAATTAAAGCTGTATGTAGGACTATAAATCACGGACGGATGATCTTCATTTTTCACTCTCATACAGTTTGTTAGTATCTATTACTTATAGATATTTGATGTTTTAAACGTTATGTAATGTTTTTTTGCTGTGATATACGTCGTACCAACACAGTGAGGTCAAATGACGACTTATCAATTATTTTAGTGGAGCATGCACGGGCACCTGAATAGAACCGCTGACGGTCCGTAACCTAGCTGGATAGCTTTTAATATGAATGGTTTCATAGACACTGGCTTGAATTCAATCCACAGCGACAATGGGCAAGAAGTTTAAAGTCAACAATTTTGCCACGGAGGTAATGTGTATAGTAAACAATATTGTAAAACATTGATACTTATAACCTCCCCAACCCCCGCAAAACACCCCCGCAAAAACGCAGATGTGGAATCACTCTCACTTCCGACATGTTCATCCCAAAAGGAGGTATTTTTCCAAAATGTGTTTACAAGTGATATAACGGGCTCCGAAGTGTTTTTAATAGTGTTACTTTTTAGTACTTTTAGGCCACTAAAGTTATGAGTATATGTAGCTTGACATCAAACAAATTGCAACACAAGCTTTCTTTAGTATTTTGCAATCAATATATATGCATGGACCTTGTAGTAAAACCCTAAAAAAATATACCTTCGGAAACTTGACTTTTGGCAGGTAGTTTACAGGTACCTGTCCAGGCATAAAAATCGTAATATAATATCGTAATATGTTTAATATATATGTGGCGACTGTCTTGTCTTTCTCTGTTATAGATTGGTAGTTTTTTAGCCAGCATGTATTGGTGTTCATAAAAATAGAATTTGCAATGAATAATAACAGGTTTGGCCTCTTTTTTATTATTTATTCACTTGTGACACACAAGATTATTACCCCACCCACACATAATAATAATGCAAAACGTTCAAATTGCATTATCTTAAAAATACTTAATATTTACAATTGGAAGGAGGTTCAAATAATATTTATATCACATAAACTTATATAAATAATGAAACATAATCACTTAAGACATTTTAAAAGCAAAATGTAACATACGTTACATCAATTACATTAACATTATTCTAGCATTTTTTTTAAATATTTTGGAAAAATTTATGAAAATAAAGAAAACAAACTTAGTTACAACAAACAATGCATCTGGTAATATACTCAATTTCTGAAAGTAACTCGTTAATTAGTCTTTTGCTGTGTCATTTAACATATTTGTACGTTACCAAAGTCTCATCCATCCAAATGTTACCCATAAATGTTATGCAAACTATCACTTTTAATATGATTTAGTAAAAATAACTTCATTTATCATCGCCAGGATTGTCGAACTATCTATATTGCACAACACTTAAGTTAGTGAAGAATAAATGCTGAAAAATGAGCTGTAGTTATGTCTTTAGTAATGATTCAAAATTAGAATTTTATATGTACAAATGCCAGTTTTATGTCATGGATCATTTAGGTTGCTTTAAAAAATATTTCACCTTTGAAATTGAATGCCATCACATCTTGTTTAACCTATTTATGTTTTCTTCCTTATTATATAAAGAGATATTTAAAAGTGATCTCCACATCTCTATGTCTCTCATAATGCTCATTAGTTCGACTACACCTAGTCACCTTTAAAAAAAAGTTATCCTTTCAATAACTTTCAAAGTATTGCATAGTGGTTAAAAAGCTTTCTCCTGCTGTTTTCGATGGTCTTTTCACTAGATTTGCAAGTCGTGTTTTTGCACTTTTCATGAAAAGAACGTCTTGAAATGTTCAACTGTTACTGTTACAACAATGGTGGTAACGTATTTTAGCTGTCATGAGGCCATTTACGCCTTTGATTCTTCCTAGGACCTTACTTCACGCTTAAAGTGTCTTGTTTTACACAAAGACTTGATTTAAACATGAAAGTCGAAGGTTTCAACTTTACTGCCAACATCGCCACGAAATTTATGTTCTTTCTGCAACTTACACAGTTATTGTCTTAAATAAATATACGTTCAACATTTTTTTCTTGTTTCTGAACTTCTTATCATATTATGGTCTCTTGCAGTTATCTCTTCTCGTCGTAATGATAACAATACTCTTTTCTATCATTTCGGCTTTACATCCAGTCATCTAAAATGGAATTAAAAAGAGATTACAAAAAAAATTGTCTGGTCTTAAAAAAATAATACTATTCATCAAATAAATTTTACCCAAAAAGTGGAGTCCTCTTCAGAGAAATGCATAAATTAAATTTGGGTGCACTATAGAGCAAAATGTATGTTCAACGTCAAATACAGCTTTCATAAACCATGCCTGTAATTTTCAGTAAATTTGCTGTTTCTAATGCTTCCGAGGGATCACTTATTTCACCAGATATTTATACATCAAAACAGCAGATGTGAAGTGCTGTGTGGCAGCCGTAAAAAGTTGCCCTGTACTTCTCTTCATTTTATTGTTATATTTTTCTAATATTTCGGGATCATTGAATCCAGCACTTTAAAGTGTTGAGAATTTAGTACCGCTGAATCCGGTGCTAGGGGGCATGAGGGATGTTGCACTTTTTCATTATCCGTCATATATAGACTCAATCAAACCGGCTCTGCAATTTTCATGTTAATTTGCTTTTTAATGCATCTGAGGGATCACTTTTTATCACTTTTTACCAGATATTTAAATTACATCTGTAACTGTTATTAGGAAACAGAATTAAATAAAAGGAGGCATTTCCCCTGTGGTCACATGGTTGTAGGTATGACAGGGCTTTCATTTTTGGCTTATCAAAAAAAGCACCCGAACTATTTATCAATCACTTCATATAAATGAGTTATCTGTTCGTTTAGGCCAATACTTTAAATATGATTCACAGACCATATGCTGTAGTTTTCATAAATATAGGACGAACAGCATAAGGAAAGGAAAGCAAACCCTTTTAAAGATAGGCAGATGTTAACAGTATCTCAGAATCAAGTTTTACAACTATCAAATTTTTTTTTTGGTAAAGACAAAAAACAGAGAGTCAGACGGACAGAAAGGCATGTTTAGACGGTGTAGATTGACATACAGATATCCATATTAGCACAAACATCTCTGATTCATTACGTTTGTATTGAAACTATCTTATCTCATGTGTTTGTAAAATTGTACAAAGAATTTAACACTCAAATTGGGGATTTATTACCACTGGCAAAGCAACAGTTAACTCCGAATATAGCTCCTCATCAATATTTGTAGCACAATTTAGTTAAACCAGAGACACAGATAGCATGTTATCTATGTTTCTGGTTAAACCATGGAGCTCAACAACAATTTGAACTGCTTACTGTGACTATAAAATAAGTTTTCTCCCTTTTTTGGAATCACAATTTTGAAATTACATAATCATTGTAAATTCTGTATCTGTTTTGACTCCCCTGACATCTCATATATCACTAGTATATAAAAAAGATAATATACTCGTATCACGCTCAGTATTACCTTTCAATTCTTATCTTCCAAATGTTATTAAAATAAAAACATAGTAGCTATCATACACATTGACATTTTTATACCAAAAACTAATGATCTGTTAATAAATATCATGCATTTAAGTTTCTAAAATTCATAACAATTTATTCTAGATTTCGTGCATTGTTTACCCAAACACGCTTCCGTAGTTACATTTTGAAGCTACCCAGGATGAACTTAAATTTGTTTATTTTTATTTTTCCTACTTCATAAACATCTTATTATCAAAAGAAATGTTAATATATAGGCTAATGATTATTTATATCTCATGAAAATTGCAAAATCTTTACTGTTTTAAACGACAAACGATGATTTATATACACGCGAAAACCCATTACAATTCATTCATTGTATTTGATATTTGGGCATGTACGAGGCTAAAAGTTGTAAAAACAAGTAAATATAATATAAAAAATTATACATACTTTGCACAACAGCTTCTAAATCCAACTCCAAGTAGTAAATGTGTAAATTTTGATATATTTAAATCGCGCGGCCTCATAACTTTTGTTTACCTCGACACCGGTTACAGTATAAAACTCTGTGTATGGTGTACATGCAGAGCCATATAAAAACTCGAAACAAATGCAAAATTTGAATTGCTTTTTTACTGGTTTGCCATAGGGTTTTTACCTGTTTTATATGATGGGTATAACAAACTACAAATGTAAAAAAGCTTGTGTTGCAATTTGTTTGACGTTAAATTTTACTTTAATGGGACTATTTAGTCAAATTAGTAAAATCTGTCACATATATTAGCCTTATTCATATAACAAGTTTTTAAAGGATATAATACTTTCTGACTTACCAAGTATATAACTGATTTCTAAATGAAATATGTACTAATTTGCTCCATTTACTTTAATCTCATTAAAGAGTTAACAATTTTATGACACGTAATAATTTATCGGCAGAGTGTAAAATATCAATGTCTTTTGCTCCGTTCATGTGTAGTTATCAAATTAATGGACCTCAAGCAACAAGAAGAAGAGGGGCCAGGATAACAATGTGCGTTATGTCGTTCGACCTTTGCGCCCACTTATCATCAAATGTACTTCATAGTTTTGTGTAACTACGTATTTTAGATATACGTTTTACATGTATATGTGGAGTATCCGCTCACTTCAATGGTCATCATCTCCCCAGCCCCACTAAAAAACACTTTTTTATCTTTCATGTTCGCACACAGATTCCGACACGGTACTCGTTGCCTATATAGACCGTCTATCTTATTTTTGCAAGCAGTTAAATAAAGTGATTAATAACGAGTACAAAATATCGCCGCGTTTGCTACTAGAAACAAACAACGTTTCTCCTTTTCATGACAAAATATTTCGCATTCAACACTGCTTTTCTTCACGAGCATCTTACAAGCCCTACATCCATAATGAACATTATTTTAATCGCAAGAAACATCGTAATAACTTTTTAGGGTAAATGTCCCTAAAAGATTAAGCAACTACAATCCACTCCGGATTACTTGGAAATTTCATTTTCATGAATTTAGAGGCAAAGAGAGTTTGATAAAAAAGCATTTTTAATATATAAGGCTTATAAGCCCTTGATGACCCGATTATAGTATAATAAAAAGATGTCACTGGAATAGAAAAACAACGATCATTGCCGAACTCAAAATAAATATGTGAACAATGTAGCTTATGAAATGTTGGTTTTACGCTCATTTATCTGATTTATTTAGTGAAATGTCCACCGACCACCACATCCCACAAATATAACCTACCGAAAGAAAAACATAAAAGCAACAACAATATCTTAATTTGGTAGCTTTATTTGAATTTGAATTAACACTAGAAGAAAGTTTGATATTAGATAGTTTGATATTTAAAGTGAACAACTAAACTCACATTAAAGCCTTACAAGCAAACTATATTATCTAAACGCATTTGCTTATAGGAAATACAGTTAACATTTGTTTAATAAAGCTGCAAGTGAATCAACCAAATTCATAAGACTATGCAAATTGTCGACGTGTATCACGTGTGTTTTATCTGTCGCTATTGTATTTTCACCATCCAAACCAGCTAATCCACCCCAAAGCGTATTCAAACGAGGCCCGACGCTCAATACAATGACGTCATGACTTGCGCCTTGAAGTTCTCTTTGTTGACTGATGCTAAGATGAACTAATTGTGCGGTTCTTGAATCGGTGATGAGCACAACAGCATCCGGAAAACTAGAGCGGTCCCCAGCCTTTGGTACTAGTGCATGGTTCACTAAGTCTTGAATAGCTCCATCTGTATCATGTCCTCGAACTTGACCGTCCAGTGTCACATACTGCAAGTTGGATATCAAACTAGCCTCATCAGTGCTTTGTTGAAGCCCAATCTTTTCATGCAGGGTCTGGTCATACATGTAAAGTGCTACGAGATTTTCCGTCATGCCAATATCGAGACGTTTTGCTATTGCTAATAAAGCACCTATCAAGTTCGTTTGTTCATTGTGTACAACTTGTGATGTTCCGTCAACGAGAAAATAGATATCCTTTGGACATCCTACAATAATGAAATCAAAGAAATCAAGAATTGTAAAACACAACAACAGCTTCAATCAAATTTATAATAAAAGTAAGTCCAACATCCTATGATTGATTTATTTCAAGCTTAAGTCATTTTCGGTTTGAAAAAAGGACAGATATATTAACTCTACTTAAATTGTTAAACACCACAGGCTCAAATAACATCCCTCAAAAAAATAGTTAATTTAAATAATGTAGGTTTTAATTGCCGTTTAGTTAAATTACATTCATAAAATCTAAAATCCTATTCTGCAGGTATTTGTTTTCATAAAAACCTGCCTGATGAAGACGACGGCTGTGGACCACCAGGGTAATTACAAAAGTCTTCCGCACAGCACGTGATCGAGATATCACGCTGCTTTACGCCACGTTTTCCAAACGGGATAGAAAGATCACTTCCGCCATCACAAATCTGAATTCCAGAATGTGTTTAATTAAATCATAATAATTTTATTTAAGTTTATATTTGTTAAGCCTACATCGCTTTGCAAAGCTAATTGTTTAGATACTACATGTCATATGGTAATTATAAGTACTACAAGTTAGTGAAAATAAAAAATGAACGCGAACAATACTTCGAGTAGCCAGCCGTACAGTTTAGAGGTAACATTATTCAATAATAAATATCTGGCTTTTGATGTCTTTGATACGAAAATTGTAAATTTCATTGATTTGTTTGTTATCTTAATATTTCATTACTTGTGTTAAAATCCTATCAACTTGACTGCATTGTCGTGATTCTTTGCATCTAGGTCCTTAGATCTAGGTGCAATAGATGTTATCTGTTATTCAGCAAATGTGGGTTTTCCCGGATAATCTGTAGGTAGCTTAACGGTGCACTACCCGTCACAATGCTAACTTCTTTCTTTATTTTCGAAGCTGTAACTTTAAAAGTACCTACGAATAAGCTAGGGGGAAAATGTGTATAATTCCAGAGTTAATCTTTTACTTTCATAGAGAGTTTATTAACGTTAACAAAGTAATACATTTAGGTTATTAGGATTACCTGTTTAGCCTCGCACGTCATTTGATACTCATGATGGCCGTCAATGAACGATTTCAACTCCTTCCTCATACAAACCTAAAATGACGTCATACCTTAGACATAGTTTCAGTACGTATATAATATGCAAATGCCAGTTATAGTTATCTATATTAAAAGAGCAACATTTAAAACACGTGCTCATACATCAATAGTCCAAAAGTTGACTTATTAAAGAGAAGAGTATTTGATTCTCTATATCATTTGTGTTATAAATGTTTTGGGTTTATTTGAAGACGGTGTTTTTGTATGACTCTGACTATTCAAATTTAAATGCAAACACGACACTAAAGTTTTTTTTGGGAAACAAGTAAAGCTCGTGACTTAAAACACTTTCCTTCGTGTATCTGATCATGACAAGTATTTTACAAACTGATGATAAAACAAAACTTTTATTTTTTATTCTTACCAAAGTTTAAGATATATAGATATATGCATGTGTAAAAATTGATACAACATTTAACATTTAAAAATTTACCTCTCCTTCCGGACAAAGCATTGTTGTATTACAGAGGTGATAGTCCATCACAGTCGCATTACAATGGTAGCATTCGACCGCTAAAATATAAATAAGAAATAAGCCATGCCAATCATATATATACAAATGTATATACAATGCTTATATCCGTGTAAACAATGACCATTTCCGTGGTAACAATGAAAAAAGAATCGTGGAAATATTGCTTATATCCGTGTAAACAATGATAATTTCCGTAGTAACAATAAAAAAACCGTTTCAATATTGCTTATATCCCTGTTTACAATGAAAATATCCGTGTTAACAATGCATATATCCTATTAACAATGAATACATCCATGTTAACAATAATTATATCCGAGTTAACAATGAAAACATCCTTGTATCCAAATGCGTTAACAATAATTATAACCGTGTTAACAATGATTATATCAGTCTAACCAGTGTTAATGTCTGTGTTTAGATTGTTGCCAATATTTATGTCCGTGTTGATCATGCTTACTATTATTTAAACATGTGAACAATGCTTATAGTCGCGTTAAGGATGCTGATACACTGAAACTACTCTTTTAACAATTATTGTTATTCGCGTAAACAATGCATTTATCTGTGAACATTGATTATTTTATTGTTGAATGTAATTTTACACGTGTAAGCTTAAAGTGACATTATGCTCATATTTTCATAGTCAAAATGAGCTGAATTGACTTTATATTTCAAAAGATTGACTGTCAAAATTGTGTTTGACCAACAGTTGAAAAATGTTTAGGATAAAATTATAATTCTGCCTAAATTTAAAAAGACTGCCCCACTCTTTTTTTTTAAAATAAGCGTTAAAGGTAAATTCTTATGGATATTTACAGAAATTTTGTTTTGATCTGTGCGTTATTTATTGTTTATGCGAACTTATGTATTAAATTAAAAGGAATGATGAAAAATGAAAACTTATTTTGATCTTCACTTGTGCACTCACTATATACCCTTGGATGGGCATAATGTCACTTTAATAATTAACCAAGTTCAATGTCAATGGCGATCTTACTTTTACGATCTAAATTTTAGTGGGACGAATTTTATGAAAGTGTATATCTAAGACCAAGAAGACAGATTCTTTAGTTAAATCAAAACATTCCCTGTGTACATTTTAATGTATAAACACACATTTGATTTAAATGTATAACAAAATTGCCGCTGTATTAACATAAATAAAAACGCTATTGTTATATTGCAAGGCAATTAGATAAAAATAAAACATATACATTACTTACGGCATAATTTACAGAACCTAGCACACACTGACTTAGCAAGTGTTATATCTGAGCAAAGGTCTGGTCTTTGGGAAACCATAAGTTTGCATGCTGTAGTGTCAATATCATCACAAGCTGGGGATGTTGACTGTGTCAAGACAACAGTTAATATTGTACCTACAATATCAAATGAAAATAATAAAAACAAACAACAAAAAATAAATAAACAAAAACAAAAACCACAAGATAAAAAGACAAAACCAACAGCAAAACAACAACAAAAACACAACTTAAAAACTAAAACCGAAAACAACAACAACAGCAACAACAACAAACAACCCAACTACAACAACAACAACATCCATAAAGAACAACAACAACAATTCCTTTGAATTATCGAGTTTCTCCAAAATATTGATATCCGAAATCCCAAAATGTTACACGTTTGATTGATTAAAACTGCTTAATGTCCTCAATTTTGAATAAGCATCTCCAAACATTTCCTATCTGCATAACATTTGCATGATCAATCAATGTTATATTCCATAAGTTTTGACATATCCCTAGATAAGTTCTTGATGATAATGGAAGAGAAATATCATTCATTGATAAGGGTTCAAAAGAATAGGGCTTGAACAAGAAGAAAATGAGCAACATTAAATAGGATAATGAAACTTTAAGATATTATGAAAATAACTATTAACTTTGGATGTCTACAACAAAATGATTTTTGCACCCCAAGGTTTACTAGGTTGTCTGCTTCTGGTGGAAAATCAACAATTGTCGCAATCAGCCGTTTCAGGGAACTCACACTGTGGTCACTAAAGGTCTACTTGCGAGGGTTTGACCTTGCAGACCACCTATAAACAGGCGGTAATCAGTTTTTGGTAATGGAAAAGCCAGGCAGGTTTAGGATTGCAATGGTGTGCAATTTTAAGTCGGATTTTTATATTTGCCATGGAAAAAAAATCACTGATTTTACATACTTCGACCATATAACTGGCACACGATTCCCATGACGGAAACACTTTATACCGCTTACAAGAAATCAGCTCGATACCTGATAGGTATCTTTGTTTGTTAACCCCCCACCCCAGAAAAAAAAAGTAAAAAGAAAAGAAACAAAGACAGAAAAGAAAGTGAATAATACAAGAAACCATAAATGGCTGTCGAGAGTTGCACCTGAAATGGTATTAATGAAATCTTTGAAGACGATCTTACATTTTACCACCCGATTAGCTCAATAGGTAAAGCGTTGAACTGTGAATCGGCTGTCTCGGTTTGATTCCCGGACGATGCAGGTCATTTTCGTTATCATTAACCATGTAATCCTTTTTTTCGGTCATTCGCATTTTATCCTTACTCTGGAATGTACAGAAATTACCAGTTCCTTCCGAAAGTGTCAGCAATAGTGAAGTGACAGCCTGGCCAGGAACGATGCGGTGGCTGAAATGCGCACTGTCCTAGATCTACTGTCGTGATCCCGAGGGTAAACTACCACGTGTGCCTTCATGTTATAAACTGAACTGACATGATGAAGATAAATCTACTTATGATAGGAAGCACCACGCCACATGTACTTAAGGATTTAAATATGAGCCGCGTCACGACAAAATAAACATAGTGGGTTTGCGACCAGCATGAATCCAGATCAGCCTGCGCATCCGCGCAGTTTGATCAGGATCCATGCTGTTTGCTGTCAGTTTCTCCACTTGTAATAGAGTTGGTAAGCCCTGATCAGACTGCTCAGATGCGCAGGCTGGTCTGGATCCATGCTGGTCGCAAACCCACTATGTTGGTTTTGTTGTGACGCGGTCATATATTTGCGTTCCGTTGTGACGTATGAATAAATAACATCCAATTCTTTAAAACATTTTTACTAAAGTCGTTTTTTAATGTTCAAAAAAGATCGTTATCTATATCAGATACTAAAAAGGTACAAAGTTACTTGATTTAATGAACTAAAACAATATATAACTCACAGAGAACAAAATAAAGTCCTGTCGACCTCATTTTTAATTTTGCAAAGTTTGTATATACAAGTTTGTACATTATCAAGATAAGAAAGTCGTTATTTTTACTTGTTTGAAGTACTGAAATATTACTAGTACTTGAACTTAAGTCCTTCTTGGCTTTCACCAACTGATATTATTGAAATAATCTATGTCACAAATCACGTTTAAACTTATATAGAATTGGTGTCAAATATTAAAAATACACATATAGAATTTGCCATGGGCTGTTCTCACGTAAATATCGGTGGGCGTTTGTGACCGAGTTGTTAAGGTTATAGACTTCAACCCACTTCCCCTTACCACTGTGGGTTCGAATCTCGCTATGGACTTTGGATTCTTTTATGAGGGGAAGCTATCCGATCAGTCTCATCAAAATGTCGCTCCACTACCCTTCTCTAGGTAAAGAAGTGTAGCGGAGCGAAAATGATGATCTTGATTTAGTGAGATTGCTATCTGACTAGTTTATGTAACCCGGTAGTTCTACTCAAAAATGAGATCTTCCTCTATCAGTTAAGCCACGACACAGTATCTCGTTCGCGTCAAATAATTATCTCGTGCGCACGACTTAGTTACTGATGGCCACGATAATGTATCTCGTGCACACCACTAACTTATCTCGTTCGCATGTCCTAGTTACTTGTGGCCACGACATAGTATCTCGTGCAATCGACTAAGTTACTGGTGGCCGCGACTTAGTAACTCGTGACCAAGACTTAGTAACTAGTGGTCACGACATAGTATCTCGTTTGCTCCACTTTATTATCACGTGCGCACGACTAAGTATATCTTGGCCACGACATAGTATCTCGTGAGTACGAGATAAAGAAAAGGCACAAATGCCACCTCAGTGTCACCGTAATATATGTATAACTCATATCCCCAAATTACGACTATACCATTACAATTTAAGGTTAAGTACAATGTTTTGAAAATTAAAAGACCTCGAGGGACAAAAAATATGTTTTCCTTAATTGCTTACTATTTAAATAGGCAATACATCACTTAATAACGGTCTTTCAATTATTTCCAGAGAGTAACAATAATAAAAAAATATTCAAAAAACCAAAGGTTTTGAATTGGTTTTACACAGAAGAAGAGCTGTTACGTTTTCTAGCAATGCTAATTTCTTGCTCAAATTCAATATCTTACTATATACATTATATTTTGAAAAGTTTTTTTCAAGTTTATGTCTCTTGATATCTCACAGATGAACCTTTTTTGACTGCTTATCATACGCTTAAAACATACAAAGTAACAAGGATATTCGTTTTAATTTGGCGTTTGATATGATGCTGCTTTATTCGTTACATCTGTTCCTTTAACTAGCTACAGGAACGCCGATGGTTTTAATCAGGTGGCCGTACGTGTCTGAAATAATGCAAAGAGGGCACTTAAGGTTTTCATTCACCAGTAAAATTGCCATATGACCTCTTCTCTGTTTGTGCCAGGTAAACCAAAACTAGAAAAGAAATGAAACAAAGAAAAAAGCACTATAGGAAGTATGATATAGTCACTGTAATGGAGGATACAATGTTGACTTTCATATTCAAGTAATTGCATGTTCCGAAGGAAATATTTTACAGTCTACTTGGAAGCCAAGCAAAAGTATTAAGCTTTTCCAGTGAGTATATATATTGGATAAATCACTAACAATAATGTATTTCTTATTTTGTGTAAAACTCAATTAACAAGCATTCACTACATTTTATTCTTTAATGTTTTTTTTAACATATTTTCAACAATGCAACAATCGAGTCTACGAGGTTTGTAGAGGTGTACATATCATTAACGTGAATGATGTGATTTTGATCAGTTGCAAATGTCTCCAGGTTGTGTCCATTTAGAGATTGAAACCGGGTACCAACACTTACAATGATCACATCGTGACTAGCTTTCTGGAGGTCAGAGCGATCTCTAAGCATACCATGAACGTGGCCGGAAATAGCTGAATCCGAGATAAGGACAACTGCATCAGGGTAGTTGGATCTATCTCCGGAACCTGGTTGTAATGCGTGATGGGTTAGACCATGGATAGCGTCATGTATATCAGAGGTACGGTCTTTGGTACGAAACTGTTGAAACTGAAGTGCCGTCAGTAGACTTAGTTTGTCAGTGTTCTGTTGAAGATCGAATTTTGGATCGAGATTGTCGCCATAACCATAGAGACCAACTAGATTATTTTGCACCCCAATGTCCAACTTCTTCACGACATCAATAATAGTTTGAATGACGGCTTGCTGTTGCGTACTTACAACAGCGGATGTTTCATCAACAAGGAAAACAATGTCTTTGTCACAACCTATTTTTTACAATAAAAAAAATGAAAATCGTTTTTAGGGCTAATAAATATATTGATAAGTAAAAAAACTAAATGATTGTGTTATTTTCTTTCTAGTGATGGATACTTATTGAATGTTATAGTGGCGATATTAGCATAATACGATAGTATAATTCTACGATCGAAGATGTGAACATAATAAAAATATGCTCTGTATCTTTGTGCGAACTATAAAAGATAAACACGGAACAGCAAGGTTTGCAGCCCATTACGACAGAGCATTACGTTCTTGTATTAATAACATGTATAAAATAACTGTAGCAAAAGTCAAATTTCTAAAGATTAAAAATATATTCTTTCAAAATTTCTTTCTATCTTTCTAGAAGCGATTCATATTCTCAATGATAAAACAAATAACTGATGCGTACCGGTTGAAGTTGATGATGGTTTTGAAGTTGTTGCAGTGATTTTTGGATAATTACAAAGGTCATCCGCACAACATGTGACCGATATATCTCGTGATTCAATATCACGTTTTCCAAATGGAATGACCAAGTCACCTCCACCATCACATATCTGTTTTTAAATATAATAGAAAATTGTATCTAACCAAAAACAACGAAATACTTTATCATACTTCTATTCATTATTAAACGTTTAGGTTAGCGTGATTAGTTTTTTCATAAATAAAAACCCAACAAATTCCGGACATCTTCTATTTAAATTATAGTTAGAATACTAACGATTGACTGACAAACTATTACCACATTGTTGTGCGTATTCAACTCACTACCTATTCAGAGTACAATACAAAACAGCCTATACCGTACCCCGTTGATGCTGCCTATCACCGTATATAGCTCATTACTGTAAGGTAACTATGATGGTCACCGTAACTGATAACGCAGGCGGTGCTATGAGGGTCGTCTCTCTTGTTTTGAGTTACCTTTCCTTTAATTCACTTTTCTTGCATATTTTAGGTTTTTTTATTTAATGTTTTGTCACATATCAAACTTTCATGCAATTCCATGTTTTCATCTTTTCACTTTGGGTATAGAGAATAAAAATGTTTTAAATAAAGACCAATAAGATATAACATGCGCTTCATGGGCAGGAATAATTAAAGAAACACCCGTTTGCCTTTTTTTTTTAAAAAATGTTTGGCAATGTATCAAAATGAGGTCAGCTACAAGAAAAAATGTTTAACAAAATGGCGGACATCTGAATCAATTGGGTTTTCACGGATTAAAATAGTGGGAAAGTTATAAATGCAATGTACAGGTGCTTAATTCTTCCAGAGGTCTAAGCCTCCTCGACTACTGTTATTTGTTATATCTCAGTAAAGTTTTAGGTCATCAAGAAAATACCTGTTTTGCAGCACACGTCATTTCATACTCATGATGTCCGTCAACAAACGATTTCAACTCCTTTTTCATACATACCTGTAAGTTATAAAGAATATTACCTGTATATAAAATGCCATGTTTTTTTACAATTATGTTAATATTCATTTGAAGACAAACATAATAGGTGTATTTAGGGGAATAATCCCTACAACAACGATGTTTTCGTACTTGGGACTCACGAATGCTATAGTATCCTAAATCATCGTCCCTGTCATTTTGTTCGGCTACTTCCCCAGGCTTTAGTTAGTACATAAGCAGTTGATATCCAGTTACAGACAAAGTAAATACAGTGGGTGCACAAAGTACTAAAATAATGTAGGTTTCAACTGGCTTTGTCGCAGATCTTCTGTCAATGCCTTTCAAAGACGTGCACGTACCGAGTGGAAGACAGAGATGGTGATAACCGACATAATGATTTCAATCATTTATGTTGCTGATGATGGTTTTGATGAGCATTGATAGCAATGATGATAACGATAATGGTGTTGATAAAGTTGTTTTACTGCTGTCCATGATGATAATCGTCTGACTAATAATTACGTTTTCGTTGAAGGTGTTGATAGCCTTAGTACGATGATGATAGTGATGACATGATTGTTGATGGAGGGACAATGATGGTGTTTCTGATATGCAATTATTTTGTTGTTCTGTTGTTTTATACAGCATATTTGATATAGTATGTGTTTATATTAGTGACTCCTGAATTGTGTATACGAATATAAATTTGTCATCAAATTACATACGACAATTGTCTCTTTTACTGACGACTTTATCACATACGTGTTATATATTCGATCTGTGACGAAATGGGTCATCATTATCTCGTCTAATGAAATTGATATCAAAATATTATCACGCCTGATAACTATAATATAAAAAACATTACCTCGCTTGATAAAAATTGGTATCAAACTATCATCTCGTCTGATAAAATTGATATTAAAACATTATCTCGTCTGAAAAAAATCAAAACATTGATATCAAAACATTATCTCGCCTGATAGAATTGGTATTAAAAATTAAAACATTATTTCGCCTGTTAAAATTGTCAAAAGACAGTAGCAGGTAATTCTCTAGTAACCAATACTTTGATTCTCAGCCAAGTTTTTTTTTAATGTTCTTGTTGCTGGGTCATATGGGGGTTGTTGCGTTCATTGAACGCCGCCTTTCCTTGTTGAACTTGTTAATCATATTTTATGCTTGTCCAATATAAAGAACTTTGAGTTGCCTTACCTCGTTTTCTGCACATAGTTTTGTAGTGTTGCAGAGGTGATAATCTAACACAGTAGCATTGCAGTGGTAACATTCAACGGCTATAATGTTAAACAGAAATGTTAAACAGAAATCTGTATGATTACAATTTCTTCGCCCCAAATATGTTTTGTTTTGATACAATGAAAAATACGTAAGATCATAATCTCAATATTATTCTTAGAAAAAAATATGGTGACGACCCTTGGAATGTCACTTCGCTATGTCAGTGTCATTCATTTGAAAGATGCTATTGTGTAACATATTCTGAATGTATGCATATACACCACAAAAATCAAACATCATATACAGTTAAATTAATATGTGCTTATGACGTTTATTTCAAATTGGCAAGTTAAAAAATAATCTTTAAGATAATGTTTTTTATACAAATAGAACATGTTCAATCTCATGTTCATACTCTTAGAGTTAGCGTATGTGCATGTAGATATGATATATTACTATTGATACCAAATGTTATACTATATATTCTTAAAGCCACATTATGCATAGGAAATCCTTATTTTTGTTAATTCTTTAGAAATGTCAAACATGTGTTTAATAATGTGTTTCAATAATACATTTAGAACACGTTACATCCTTCAATACTAAAGAAAGTAGTACTGAACATACAGTTATGTGTCGTAAAGGAGCAAAAATATGAACGAAGTAGTATTTTGACTTCCATACAAATTACATATTCACTATAATTACACTAATTGCTGACAGAGCAAAAGTAGCAAAATAGTGTATGTATATGGAAAATAAGTTTATTTTTTGAAGGCTGTATTAAGATACAAAAAAAAAGTTGGCACCAGTTCTGAGACATAATAAGCCTTTAACAAAGAATATATACCCATAGAATTTTATTCTACAATCTTTACCTTTATTGAAACACAAACATGAGTAGTTCTATTACGACAGCTTTTTGAAAGTAGTGTAGTATATTAAATACATGTATAACGTTTTTGAAAAAAAAATGATTTTGAGAAATAGAAGTACATGTAATAGCAATTTAGAGACTTAATGAACCTCTGCTGTATAATTATACTCACGGCACAATTTGCAAAATCTAGGGCACGTAGATTTGGCTAGGACTGGATCGGAGCATAAGTCTGGTCTCTGGACCAGTAGGAGTTTACAAGCTCCTGTGTCAATGTCGTTACATTGTTGTGACGTCACCAAGGTAACGCTGGCAACTGAAACATCATTATCATTACTAAGAACTAATAAAAAGTGCGCATATTGTGTAAGTAATGAAGTATTCTTACAGGACCCAAATTTTTCCGTATTGAACAAAGAAGTGTGTGTTATTATGCATTAAAATCTGACGCGCTAAAAATAAGTACGGAAACTAATCAGGCGCAATTTAGCTTAATATCAGGTACGGCAGCATTTGTTTGTTGATGTCGTGTTAGAATCGAAATAATATATCCAAATCGGTGATTTTATCGCTTGATAAAATCATTGTTTGTCGTTCGGATGCGCATCATTATATATAATACCTCGCATCCAAACTCCAACCAAATAAGCCAGACCAGCATGTATCTCTATACGAGGATATATTGAAAATGTGTAGCCCCTTAAACTTTGAATGAACCAGTCTAAATTCATAATTGGACACAGAAAGTAGGTTTCGTTTTAGATATACATGACATAGGTTCCATACTTATAGATTGACAGTTGCTGGTGTTTACCAATCATTCCGAGGTTTAGTTGTTAGTACAAAACGTTATGTTAAGATTTTATACACATTGTACATGTATAAGTGTCTATTGAAAGAACAAACACCAATATTTCTGAACTTTCTTTAACTCTTATATATATATTTAATAGATTTATTTTGTGTTTTTTGGTTACACACGCAGTTTTTTGTCATGAATGGCAAACAAACAAAAATATATGTTAATACTTACAAAGAAATAACAAAGATCTTGTCAACATTTTATCACAAAGTTCCTACGACGTCATACAAATTGTGGTCTCGGTTTTCAACATTTTGTTATCAGTTGACACGTGTCATCTATTTTAAGCCAGTTGGTTGATTTCTTGTTATAGGATGACCTTTCTAATGGACACAATAACTAAAAATTTATCATATCAGTCAGTTATAACCTGTATGCAAACATTTAAATGAAATTTACTGAACTGTTTACGATTTATGGATATTTTTGAAACAAAAAGAGGGTTTTCTTCGGGAATCATTGTATTTTATAAAATGGGGCTTCGCATTATTTTGGGGGAAAGTATGTGAAAATAATTTCGAACAGAATGAATCCTATTAAATATAAAAAGTCAAATTCAAAATTCCCCGGGACGTTTGCCCACGCTAGTTTCACATAGTCGGAAACTCTCCCGATGCATTTGCCCTTTGACAGTGTTTAATGTCACGTATTTTAGAACTGATTGAAGAAATTTTGTATTTCCGATCCGTACATTTATAAACATTATAAATTTAACTACATGTACATGTATACCAACTGTGTATGCATACCCTGTTTGAACCCAAGGTAGAAAAGCGGAAAGGTTGCTTTTATCTTCATCACGTGATGAATGTGTATAAGGCCTGAAATTCTAGCTCGTGGTCAGTTCACTAATTTATTTCAAAGATGGACACGTCGTTGCCGCCGTATCCTGGAAATTTCAGAAAAAAAAATTGACGCCAAGAGAAATAACTATCAGAGATCTGTACAACCCTTAGAGTTTTTCACGTTATTCAACCAAGACGATCAAGATTTGAATGAATGGTTAATGGCAAACCATTTCTTAGTGAGAAGCATGCCGTGTACAAAATCTTCAGAAGGGTGCATCGGAAATCATGAAGGGGTGTCAGCGTAAGGGCAGAATCTCCGGCGCCACGTTTCGCTGCAGCGTGAACCGGAACCATGAGGTGGCTATCAGAACCTTTTCATTTTTCGAAAGTTCTAAACTATGCGTCCAAGATATTTCTATGTTGATACGATGTTATTTAGATGGAATGACGCTTTTACAAACGTCTATCTTTGCGGGCGTAAACTATAAATCTACTGCTTAAGATTGGGCATCGTTTCTTCGTGAGCTATTCAAAGAACGTTTCCACAGGAATGTAACACATAAAAAATTTCGGGCTGAAATAGAAATCGACGAATCTCTCTTTAGAAGAAGAGTGAAGTGCCACCCTCACAAGGGATTAAAGGTAATGTTTATTTCAATAACACAACTATAAATTTAAATATATATATATTACATTAATCAGCTATTTCATGCTAAATAAGTAGCGTACATATTTATTATATATTTGTTTTAAACTTTGCATCCTATGCTATTTTTCGAAATAAAATTTTAATATTGTTCAGACTCGTTAGTTCAAAAAGGTGGTTTAAATTTCCATTTTAAATTTGCTTCAATATATAAAAAGATAAATTTCCTATGCGAGAAACGTGCGATTTGTTGCTATTTAGAATTATAATATGTCATATAACGTTTAATATTTGTTTATAGGTATGGGTTTTTTGGTATGGTGGAGAGTCATTTCTACACCATTATACTGTACCCTGTGGAGAATAGGTCAATGCCACCCTGATACCAAACGTTATGTTGAAAAAGGCTCGACCATATATAGCGACGGTTGGACAGCTTACTGTCACCTCAATGACATAGGTTACAAGCACTTCACGGTTTTGCACAAGTATGCGTTTAAGAAAAAATACAAAAATACGGAAACTGGAGAAATAGTATCTGTCCACACCAACCAAATTGAAGGAGCCTGGAAGAATGCAAAAAACCATTTCCGGAAAATGTCCGGAACCCAGGCAAGCCAGTGGAAGGGGCACTTGGCCAAATAATGTGGCGCTCGGAGATGAAATCGAAGAAATATGAACATTTCTTCGATTTGTTTAGAAGTGTCTACACATCGGAGGGTCCACCTCAATACCATTACTCCACGTCACTGTTCTATTCGTGACCGGGAACGGTGATAAATAACATAGGAGATTAGAATGTTGAACCTTACATGACAGATGCCAGCAGAAATGACAGCAGCAGTGAATAGGACGTTCTGTCTGTGGATACCGAACCTATACAGATGAAAGATATATGTCCAGAGAAACATTTGATAATTCCGTCGGATGATGGTATCATTCCAGCGAAAAGGTCACAAACAACCCGTCCCCTCGACAAATAAAACCTTTCACAGCTGCACTGCTTAGCGAATTATTTTCGGACAGTTCAATAGATGAACCCGTTCAATGTCCGGTGCAACTACCTATGTCTTCTAAAAGCAACACAGAAAATACGACCACACTCCTGCTGAGTCTGTAAAGTCTGTACTACGCGAAAAGAACAAAACTGACATTGTGTGTCACCCGGCAGGCTTTAGGAAGGTAAATCCCGTAAATCAGTAAAAAGACTCCAACAAATCCTTACAGCAAAATCAACTATATTTTGTGGTCATCGTCAGATGATGATTTTCAATAGTAAACATTGAAGTTAACTATCATAAATGCTAAGTAAGCAAAGAACGATACCGGTAGATCGCTTATATTGTCCAACAACATTGCCCAGGCACTCATGCATTTGCACGCATGATTTGACCCCATAGTCGGTATATTCCGTAAATGTTACGATCTATTTGAAAATCGATATGAATGTGAATATTTGTTTGTTAAAATGCTGTAAATTTAAAATCCCTCTTAGAGCAGTTGGGTTGAAGAATGTCGACGTAAACCGGTAGGTTCGAATCCCATTTCAGCGATTTATTTTTCTTTTCTATTTAAATCTCAAAATTGTCATTCTCTTAAAACTATTGCTTTTTTGTTGTGTAGTATTTTAATAACTGTTTTTATAACGTGCGCGCTACAGAAAAGATGACATTATGTCACAAAGGAAACCGTTGGAAGATACTGCAATGATATAAAAATATAATTGTGTATAAAACACCACTTAAAAATATTCTAAAACCAGGTGTAATTAAGAGATTTCAAATTAATATTTGCAAGTTAATAAAAAAATCGTAACGTGATGAATCGAACCAGAGACTTCCAGATCGGTAGTCCTATACAACACACCTCACTGACGAGTGAAGTTAGCAAATATATTGATATATTCTACAGATACTGAATTGTCAGTGTTCATTCGAATAACCTTTTCGAAACTTAATAAAGTGCCAGGTCAATATTGTCGGACAATAACTATATACAATGTATATAGTATTGATATAATCATACAATGGATACGTAACAACTAAAGAGGCAGTTTATGAACTTTTCACGCAAGAAGCGGGAAAATTATTATCTACCTAAAATGGTGTCATTGGTAAGGAATTCTGTGTTAGTTTATTTATATTTTTAAACTAATGCGCATGACTACGTAATTTCTTGCAAGCGTCTGAGTGACCAAGATTATTGTGACCTACGGAATGACTATTACATTTTTTTTAAAAAGGCAATTGCCCTGGGGGAAATGCTCGGATATTGCCGAAAGCTTATTTTCAGCATGTTTCCGTGTTGGTGAGCAACTTACCGGTCAAGTAATGGATCCTGTATTGCAGCAAGTCTAAACAATACTGCAGGAAGTCTTATACTGCGGCAAGATCAAGTAGTGCAGCAAGTCTAAGGATCACAGCAAGTTCAAGGAGCTCAGCTAGTCAAATTGTGCAGCAAATCTAATACTGCAGCAAGTCTTCATATACTGAAGCAAGTCCAAGGAGTGCGGTAAGTCTTAGGAGCGCAGCAAGTCCAACAAGAGCGGTCGGTAGGACTATTCTTAGTGCTTGATAGTAAAAAAAATGCTTGATACAGTTACCTCCTCCTGTTTACAGGTTGGGGTCATGATGGTGAACAAGTGTGCACAGTTTCAAAGCCATATGTCAATGGACTTTGAAAATATTTGAACTATTACAAAAACTTTAACGTAAATTCTAAGTCGAAAAAGGGGCAGAATTCTGTCAAAATGCTTGATAGAGTTACTTTTGCCTGTCTACAGGTTGGGGTCATGATGGTGAACAAGTGTGCAAAGTTTCAAAGCCATGTGTCAATGGACTTTGAAAATATTTGAACTATTACAAAAACTTTAACGTAAATTCTAAGTCGAAAAAGGGGCACAATTCTGTCAAAATGCTTGATAGAGTTACCTCCTCCTGTCTACATATTGGGGTCATGATGGTGAACAAGTGTGCAAAGTTTCAAAGCCATATGTCAATGGACTTTGAAAATATTTGAACTATTACAAAAACTTTAACGTAAATTCTAAGTCGAAAAAGGGGCATAATTCTGTCAAAATGCTCGATAGAGTTACCTCCTCCTGTCTACAGGTTGGGGTCATGATGGTGAACAAGTGTGCAAAGTTTCAAAGCCATATGTCAATGGACTTTGAAAATATTTGAACTATTACAAAAACTTTAACATAAGTGGTTACGCCGACGCCGACGCTCGGGTGTCTACAATAGCTCTACTTATTCTTATCGAATAGTCGAGCTAAAAAGTGCAGCAATTCTTAACTAATAATCACAGCCTGTGTGGTCGAGGGGATAGAGTTGATGACTTCTAATCCAGTTACCACTCTGGCGTGGGTTCGATCCCCGGGAGATGCTTTGGTAGTTTAGCGCGGAGGAAGGTAGTCTTGTACTGGTGTAACTCTTGGTTAGGAAACTACCCGCCTATATGACTGAAATACTGTTTGGAAAAGGCGTAAAATGAAACAAACAAACAACTAATAATCAAAAGTACCACTCGGAATATCAATAATAATCGAATAAGTGAAAAAGACAAAAACTAACTAAATTAGATTTACATTCTCGATTCAATACTAATCAATGTACCTATCAAATTGTAAGCTTGCAAGAGTCACTACACTAAGCTATTTGCTAGACACGGATTACACTTAACTTTTATACTCACATTTTCTGAAGAGCATATATTATTGGAGTGTTATTTAATTTCTAAGCAAATCAGTATTACATATGAATGAAAGTTTTCCGGTTAGTTCTTAATAATTTGGTAAATCTTTGTTTTATAGGCCAAATATAGTAGAAGCGTTTTCAGTATTTCATTCGTAGTTCTCTACAAATGAGTCAAAAATAGTATTCATTT